AGATTGCCGAGGACCTCAATCTCAAGCCTGCCCATTATGATCTTTACGGCAAATACAAGGCTAAGGTAAAACCAACCAATTACATAATTACTGCAATATCGCTTCTTCCAAGCTTCTGCGCGTTGACTTTCTTTCTAGGTTAGGGGTTATTCAATTTGATTTTGGCTCCTGCTTTGGTTGCTTCTTTTAGTTTCCCCTTCTCTGGGTTTGGGATTGTTTGGCTCAAAGTTTCTTGCTTTAGTCTTAGCTTGTCTGGTCTTGGCAGCTTAATTGTCATAAGTGGAAGATATGTATTTTGAAGCGTCTGGTCTTGGCAGCTTAATTGTGTCATAAGTGGAAGAACGAAGATAAACAGGGGAAATAGTACAGAAGATTCAGTTTTAGTCCTTTTTCGCTGTATAATTCGTGTTAATGAAACGAAATTGGTTTTTGTTGCTGTTTGATGTGTGGGTATGAGAAGGTGTTGCTGTCGGTTGTTGATGAGCAGCAAGGATCAAGCGATGGATACTATGTGGTTGTCGGTGGAATCACTCCCACCCCACTTGGAGAGGGCAAATCCACTACTACTGTTGGCCTTTGTCAAGCTCTGGGTGCGTTTCTTGACAAAAAGGTAACTACTTTCTGCTTCACTTGACTGTTCATTTCAGTTGCTGGTCTTATGCTATAACTATACATAAATTTTAGAGCTTTGAGCTTTACACATAAGATAAACTTGCATTATAGCTCAAAGTTAGTATGTCAAGAGTCACTGAGTTGTTTCCTACTTGTGGCAGCTCATTGGAGCTTCTGCTCAAGTCATAGTTAGTTCGAGCTAACTCAAGTAAGTTCATAGGAGATTATTACGTTTGATAAGGACCGAAGGATACTCCTATTAGCTCAAGTAAATTTGCTGTATTGCTCAGGATTAGTTGACCAAAACAAAGGTCCAAAAGGAATCTTCTTTTGTGATGCTGTTTTCCTGTGCAGAACTTCTGTAAACTTGTTCTTTTCTAGTTAAGACTGCAACTTGGTAATTTTTTTTTTATGTATGTAGTTATCTTCACGCTATGTCCGCGAACTTCTTTATATAATGCATATTCATCTATTTTGCATGAAGAATTCCATAAGAAACTTCTCTCTCTGTGTCATTTCGTATAATCAGGTTGTTACTTGCCTTCGTCAACCATCACAAGGACCAACTTTTGGAATCAAAGGAGGTGCTGCAGGTGGTGGTTACAGTCAAGTTATCCCAATGGACGAATTCAATCTGCATATGACCGGAGACATCCATGCCATAACTGCTGCGAACAATCTGCTAGCAGCTGCAATCGACACCAGAATATTCCACGAATCCTCCCAATCGGACAAGGCACTCTTTAATCGATTATGTCCACCAAACAAGGAAGGAAAACGGAAGTTCAGCGACATTATGTTCAGGCGTCTGAAGAAGCTAGGCATCACCAAGACCACACCTGAGGACTTGACTCCAGAAGAAGCAAAGAGGTTTGCAAGGCTCGATATAGATCCAGAATCCATCACATGGAGAAGGGTGATGGATGTTAATGATAGGTTCTTGAGGAAGATCAGTATCGGCCAAGGTCCCGACGAGAAAGGCATGGTGAGAGAGACTGGGTTTGATATCTCGGTTGCTAGCGAGATCATGGCAGTGTTGGCCTTGACTACATCGCTATCTGATATGAGAGAGAGGTTGGGGAAAATGGTGGTTGGGAATAGCAGAGCTGGTGAGCCAGTGACTGCTGATGATTTAGGAGTTGGGGGAGCGTTGACTGTGTTGATGAAGGATGCCATCAACCCTACTTTAATGCAGACCCTTGAAGGGACTCCCGTTCTTGTTCATGCTGGTCCTTTTGCAAACATAGCTCATGGCAATTCATCTGTTGTAGCTGACAAGATCGCTCTGAAGCTTGTTGGACCAGGTGGGTTTGTGGTCACCGAGGCAGGGTTTGGGGCAGATATAGGTACAGAGAAGTTCATGAACATTAAATGCCGGTATAGTGGGTTGACACCACAGTGCGCTATCATTGTTGCGACAATAAGGGCCTTGAAGATGCATGGTGGTGGTCCAGATGTTGTTGCCGGAAAGCCTCTTGATCGTGCCTACACGACTGAGAACGTGGCATTGGTTGAGGCCGGGTGCATTAACTTGGCAAGACATGTGGCGAACACAAAGGCTTATGGCGTCAATGTTGTGGTTGCGGTGAATATGTTTGCCACTGATACTGAGGCTGAACTTAAAGCTGTTAGAGAGGCTGCTTTGGCCGCTGGCGCTTTTGATGCTGTTGTGTGTACTCACCATGCGCATGGTGGGAAAGGAGCGGTTAGTTCTCTTCCTCTCATGTTTATCTTGTGTCTTTTACTCCATTTTGTTTATGAACCTGTCGACAGAAAACAATATGTTCGTTGAATTGTATATCATGAGCAATCTGTGGTCGATAGGTGGACCTTGGGCTAGCGGTTCAACGAGCCTGTGAGAATGTCAACCAGCCATTGAAGTTTCTGTATCCTCTGGACATTGGTATCAAGGACAAAATTGAGGCGATAGCTAAGTCGTATGGAGCAAGTGGCGTCGAATACTCAGAGCTGGTAAAAAAAATGTTTTAATTAACAGCCTTTAGTAGTTGAATTACACATTGATTTGTTACGGAGAGTTTGGCAATTTTATACATTTTTGGTGCCTTGTTTACTGCATATTCGTATCGATGATCTCTTGCAACCCTTTTTGTTTATCGTGGTGTTTTTTGTTTGTTTGTCACAGGCCGAGAAACAAATAGAGATGTACACTAAACAAGGATTCTCAGGTCTACCGATCTGCATGGCGAAAACCCAATACTCATTCTCACACAACGCGGCTTCAAAGGGAGCACCAAGTGGGTTCGCGTTGCCGATCAGGGATGTTCGAGCCAGCATTGGAGCTGGTTTCATCTACCCTTTGGTAGGCACGATGAGCACCATGCCTGGCCTTCCAACCAGGCCTTGCTTCTACGACATCGATCTCGATACTGCCACTGGGAAGGTCATTGGCCTCTCTTGAAAAGCCAACGAGCTAGCAACGCCATTGGATTAATCTGTGTTCTGTCGAAACACACATGAGCAGCTTTGTGCTTTACTTGATAGTGTCATTTGTTTGACTTCACAACTCTTTTGAGCATTTCTGGTCGTCAATAAAGGGTAAAGCTAATTCAAGGTCCACGTAATTCAGCTGTAGACATGATCTTTGTATATTTGATCCGATAGAGCTTGAAAATGATGGAGGACCTGTTCGCTTGATCATAGGTTATTAAGGCTTGGTGCCTGGTAGTCGGTAGACATGGTTTGGTCCGCTCTGGAATTAGATTGAAAACAAGAGAGCATTCGGTTCAATTCGTTTTGCTTTTTCCCTCGTATCTTTGGCATGAAAGAAAACTGACTTGATTTCAGTGAATATGGTCTCGTTCTCTTCAAAATTATATTGGAAAATGAAGAGAAAATAAGGGGGGAAATGAAGAGAAAATAAGGGTTAATCTTGAGCTAAATGATTATTCAATTTAATTCCTTTTCCCTTTTCATTGCTTCTAATACAAACAAGTATTTTTTTTTCAATGTGATAATTGAGATAGAATCGTATATCAATATTTGATCATTTTAGTTCAATTTAATTATTGATTTGAGATGATATGTACGAAATTCTTGTACACCATTTGTTATTTGCTAAACTATATTGACTTTAGAACTTTGATTAAAAAAATGCAAAATTCAAGAAGATCCTTTCCATGAATCTTCATTATCACTCATGAATATTCTTTTGGTTTGTACGAGGCAAAAATGATATCTAACGTATTGTTTTTCTAAAATGGTCTGTTAAAGGTCTAGGTCAATAAGTTAACTCAATAACTAATTAGTTAGCTATTGAACAATGATGATTGTCCAAGACTGTAAAAAATCTAAAAGGGTCCCATTAGAAATTCCCTCCACCTAACCTAACCCTAAAAGCACAATGATATTCCTATAGTTCTAAATAACTGCCACATTGAAGGTTGATAATGTATTCATATATTATTATGTTTATATTCATCAAATGAAATGATGCTCTCAAGTTTCCCCCACTAAGCACCATAGTAGTTGCTTCCTACTATGAATTATTGAAGAAGATAGTTATATTTTCATTTTTTCCACTCTAATAACATCCACAATTAAACAAAATGCGAAAGTGATACTAGTTTGATTTTTAACATTCAATTGAGTTATATAATTTAACTGTATAGTAATTTCAAAAATATCAAGTAAATCTTCACTTGGTTGGATTTTAAACCCCATCTTAAAGAATTTTCTTTCTTTATCTTCTTGCTCTTGCTTTCTTAAAGACAATTTAAAACTCACTTCAATCCTTTGAGAAAAGAAACACTCACTTCAAAAAACCATCTTCAATGTGAAAAAAATAACTTCATTCCACGAATAGGGGAAAAAGTTTGGAATCCTATGTGAAATCTAAGTTTGTTTACAAAATGATCACCACATTTAAAAAAAAAGAATGACATCTACGGTCGAAAATTAGAGAAAATATCACTAGTAAGCCGATTATAACATAATAATCATCAATTTTTATATTTATTTCTAATTAAACTCATCATTAAAATTAAGGATAGATAGGCAAATCATTAACCAAAGAGTCAATCCCTTCATCATGTTCAAATCTTTGTTGAAACTTTCCAGAATTGTCTATCAAGTTTAGCGGTTGAAAGATATCATGCTCGTTTCGAGTAATGTGAATGTGTTGTGTTGTTACTTGTTAGTGAATCAAAATAATAGTTCTATTAAGAACTGTGACTAACTAATCAGTGGCCTCAAAGTTGAGTGACCTTTGGTGTAATTAAACCCGTATGTGCAACACAAAGATAACTATAAAAAAAAAAAAAAGCAGAGCAGCACAGACAGTGCAGCACTAGTTGCTGCCTGCCGGTACCTGAGCCCGCTCGCCCATATATGGATGGAAGATTCTTATTCTCTCTTCTCTTTTTTGTTAATTTCCTTACGAGAATTCAAAAACCCACCAACAACATTAATCTACCATTAACCATAACGCCAAAAGATGGAAGCTTTCCTCAAATTTAAGACAAGATTTTAATTACCCTCCATCTCCAATCTCTCGCATCACTCCACTCCATCCATCATATAGAGAGAGAGAAGGTGAGTGTGTTGTGTTGGGAGTGCGATTGTAAGAGAGAGAGAGAGAGAGAGAGAGAGCTCAAATCAGTTGATTTCTGTCATCATCATCATTTGCAATGATGCATTGGTTTTTTGGGTAATGAGCTAAAAGAGCAAACGGAATTAGAAGAAAGACCAGAAGAAGAAGACAAGGAAGGAGCAAAAGCGGGAAAGGAAAAGAGAAAAAACAAATGTTCTGCGGGAGAAGTTCAAGGTGTTCAGATGATAATAGGAAGGGATCTGTACCGGTGTTCCTCAACGTGTATGACCTCACACCCATTAATGGCTACACTTATTGGGTAGGCTTGGGAGTTTACCATTCTGGTGTTCAAGGTAAAAATTGAAAGCAAAGTTTCAATCTTTATGGATAGATCTGTGTTTTTGGATCATTGGGTTCTTCGATGAATTTGACTTCACAACTGGTGCAACTGGGTTTTTCCCGCCCTCTTTGTTTGAGCTCCAAAGTTATTTTCTCCGTCCTCTGATTCAGAGTTCTGGGCAAGAAAATGCTGCTGAAAATCTGTTAGCTTCTTATTGAGAACTGTGCAGAATGAGAAATTTCCATGGGGAACTTGCAGTTTTGCACTGGCCGGCTGGGTTTATTGTTTGTTTGTTTGTTTGTTCATCCATCTTTTCTTAACTACTATACTATATTGTACTGACGAACCCGTTGTTGTACCAGGACGTTTCGTCCATTTTTCTAGTACCACTGCTGGAAACCAATTTCAGCTATATTACTAGTATTTTGTCCATCCATGTTTGGGTAAACACGATACATGATGATGAACATATCACCTAATGCTGGAAATCCATCTTTTTGGTCCCTTTATTCCGACTTCATCAAAATTACACGATTCATGGATTGTAAATATCATTAACCTCTTGTTTAGATGCCTAGAAGAATGTATGCTGATTATGAATGTACTATGACTGAATGGGCAGTTCACAATGTGGAGTACGCATTTGGGGCACATGAGTATCCAACGACTGGGATCTTCGAAGGCGTTCCAACAAAATGCGATGGCTTCACATTCAGGAAGTCGATTCTGATTGGGAAAACAAATTTGGGGCCAGGGGAGGTAAGGAAAGTGATGGAGGATTTGGCTCCAGAATACAAAGGCAATGCTTACAATCTCATCACCAAGAACTGCAACCATTTCTGCAATGCTGCTTGCCTTAAACTCACCTCCAATCCCATCCCCAGCTGGGTCAATCGCCTTGCCAGAATTGGTAATGATTCCCCCAAAGAAGTCTCTTGTGGGTTGCCTCTTTGCTAAATGGTTACGGATCTTTGGGGTAGCTAATAATTCATCCATATAAGCTAATCATAGGCTCAGTGTCCTTTCATAAATTTGGATGGAAAATTGGACAGAGATGGATAAACCAAGTGTTGCGTTTGTTATTCCAAACTCCACTGACAAGTCTATTAGAAATATGACCTATTTATTAGTAACCCTGATGATCAGTGACGGTTTCTGTGTATTCCACCTTGTTTTTCTCATTGCATTGGTATTCCAGAGAACTGAATGCTCCTTTGTAATGTTTTGACTTTCAGGATTCCTGTGCAATTGTGTTCTTCCTGCACACTTATGCTCAACCAAAGTTAGGCATGACGACAGCAAGGTAGAGGACAAGCCTTGTGAAGTAATAGTAGTAGAAGAGAAGAGACTGAGAGATGGGTGTGATCATCATGACTTCACATCATCTTCATCTACTACTTTCTCAAATTCAAATTCAACTTCAACTTCAACATCATCTTCAGCATCTTCTCCGGCTACCAGTACTACTGGAGTTCATCAAGTTCGCGGCAGGAGTAGAACTAGAACTAGACGGCGTGCTTTCCCCCCTTGTTCCCCGTTGATCTCTTCACCTCCATCAATTTCATGATCATGCTGATCAGACCATTTTTTATGAACAAACTGTTTCTTCTTGACAAAGTCTGGTAAAATTTTCTATGGAATGGAGATTTCTTCTTTGGAAGGAAGATCCATATGGGCAGAAGAGCTGGCTGATGAAGGTGATGGTGATTTCCATCTCTTTGACTAAGAAAAGGACACTCTTATCTATCACCATATTCCTTATGTATCTGTATATCAGTTGCTTTCTTCTTCCCTTTGAGGATTAATTCCGAGCAGGGTCCCTAAGCTTTGGTACTTTTCTCAATCGAGCCGCTAAGCTTCGTTTTGTTTCCCTGTAACAGGCCCTTTGAACTTTAGAGGCCAAAATCAATCATAGTCCATGTCTTTTTTGCTTTGCCAAAGCATTATCCCTGCCTTATTGATTTAAGGGCTGTCTTTGCCTTTGACATGTGGGTGTAAGAGAATTAATTAAGCAAAATGAAGCTGTATTCATGTGAGGTGACTTCAATCATAAGTTCCAATGATTACTGAAGCTATATTCACGTCTGGTTACTTACTCCACATACAAGATTGATATATTACAACTTGATCTATACAACAAATTTGCAGCTGGACAAAAAACTAATGAATTCATATCGACTCTTGAATCCATATCATAAAACAGCAATCGACCAAATCCACATGCAGCTAGCTAACTTGGGCAAGAATCTTCTCACTAGCTCGATCCAGGATAAAAGCTGCAACGTGTTATGAAATGAAATTCAATAGAATCTTGGAACGTGTACATAGTTCTGATATCCTACAAAGAGAACCCTGATTAACAAGGCACCTCGATTAAAAACGGGGGAAAACAAACACCAATTGAACTCTGTATGCCTGTACATAAAATAGCAAAATGGAATCGGCCAAATAAAGGGCAGAATTTTGCATTCAGCATAATGATAATAACAATAAGTTCACAGTAAAAAGAGCCAAATCAACCAAAGAACCAGCATAGGTTCTAGGTCTGTTTTGCTCGCAACCATTCTACAAAATTGTCGAGGATTAAAGGCCACGCGAGTTCTGGATCGTAGTTGCTAAGGTCTGGGAAACTTATCTGTTAATAAAAGGATTTGATTAGTAAGAGTCAGTGATAAAAGTTGTTATGTCCTACACTGTAAATATGCAGTATGCACTATTGTTGATAAAATCCAGCATGTGGCATTGAAAATTGGAGGTCTTGAATAGAAGAAAGTATGCATTGCATGATACCTCGTTGCAAAAACGGTAGAACCCCATCCACTGGTCCAGGTTAATGACCTTATAGTCGCTTTGAATCTGTAGCCAAATATAAAAGATGACATGAATGAGTAACTAAGGATAAACTTGGGCTAACAAAATCAATAGATATCTCAGGAAACACACCGAGAATAGCCACTAACCTTGAGATAGTCGATGAAGTAATCAACCTGAGCACGAAACTGAAATCCCAAAGCAAGATCAAGTAATTGGCAGATGCTTTCGATGTCTATGCTTTTCTGTTTTTCCTCTGATAACAAACAAAAAAGGAAGTTAGTGCCACAAATCAAATAACATCCATGAACACCAGCACAAGATGATCTTGCTCCGAACTTGCCATTACCCGTTAGACAATACTGGAAGGCATAAGAATAGAAATCCACAAAGTTTGTTGGCCTTTTAACCTGATACACAAACAAGCACCCTGTTACAATTATGCACATATATCACAAAACCACCAATGAAAGAAAATTAAACTGGAAAACCTCTTTCTCGAGCTCTGGGAGGGCCTTCTTCAATTTATGTACATTATCAGCCCGCAGTGCTTTAAGGCCTCTTCGCCACTCTTCCTGTTGAAGGGCAGGTCAAACAAAACAAGAACGGAAGGGAAAGGGGAAATGAGAGTAGTAACTGATTCAGACCTTGTATTTATACCCAACCTAAGTGTAAGCATATAAGTATCCAATTTTTTTTTTAAAAAAAGCTGAAAGTGTAAGCACATGCCACATGTGTAACGAAGTAATTCTCAAGAAGAAAACTGATCGAAAAGAAAACCCCAAAAACCAAAAGTAAACAAGTTATACAAGGCCGATCTAAGAAGTGGAAGCCAACTGGTTTGCTGGTGGAAGTGTTTGAAGGTGTCAGTACAATCGACAATGACAAGAGAACTCTTGGGTAAGAGCAAAACAGAAAATTATTACAGTGGGGGAGCCCCACTATGGTGACCAACTAAGTTTTTTCCTTGACCTGACTAAACTGACCGATGCAGTGCCACTAAGGAATGTTTTTGGGGCTCATTATAAGCAGTCAGCTATAGAAGTTTATATTGTATGCTAAAATTGATTAAACAAGTTACTAGAAGTCTTTCTTATAACAATGAACCGAAACAAGTGATTAGCAAAGTAAATTGCCCAGTATGAAGGCATACAATATTTAGAATAAAACGAGTAAAGGACAGGAATATGAGTAGATAAGTATCAGATATTACTCTCTTACCAGTGTAAAGTACCCCTGTTTTTCAGCTTTCATTTTCCTGCATGCACATGCATTATATCAGCCACAAAACTTAATAGAGTTCCAAAAATGTTAATAAGTATGACATCTAGTGCGCGTTCCAATTTAACCTACCAGGCTAGCATTAAGATTCTGACATCTGTATGATCCACCTCCAAATCTGAACATAGAGCTTCAATTCCCTCTGGGCTGTTCCAACAAGAAACTTGTGACATTAAAAACTATAAAAATTCTCTCAGATTAGCCAGTGACTAACAATTCAAGCTTTCATACTCTTGTAAGTTGAGGCAATACAACTACAATTTGGTAGAAACTAAAATTAGGAGCAAACTTTAATATTATAGCAGCAAGAACTTACTCAATAAGACCCGAAGACTTGTTTGCATATGAGTAAAACACATTATCAATCCGCTCCATCTCTTTTGAAGATGCTTTACCCGTGGCTGAACAGGCAAGATCAAAGAAATTAACCCAGTTGCAGTTTTATTATACCAGACTACCAAATAAGATATCAAGATAACACCTAAAGCAATGAAACAACAGAATCTTAACAGAGTCCAGATTTGAAGACTAAGCAATTGAATTTCAATACTAGGGGAGGAAAAGGGCATGACTTTTCACCTAAAGTAACATGGAGATTGGATTTCAATAACAATCATAAGCTCAGGATCCTACAATCTGATAAAGCAGCTTTGATCATTTCAATCACGAGCACTAGTTTTGCTTTGATCAGCAGTGTGTTAATGTTTACAAATTACCACGTCAGTTCCAACATACCCTAGCAGGATCAGAAAGTCCAAAGCCTCCTTATTTTCCAACTTAACAGTAGTTCTAGAATTGGCTACAAAATTCCACAGATTGTGGTTAAAATTTCCAATCTCCTGCCGTTCCCCAGATAAAATTAGCCCAATTGAAGACCTTAAACAGTAAAACCGAAATCTTCAACTTCATAGAATCCAAAATTTAAGGCTAAAACAATTGATTTCAAGAGGAAAACTAAAATCGGGAAAAGATTATGAATTACCGGAACGGAAAAGACCGCCGGCGGAAGAAGTAATCGGAGTTGAAGAATCGGATTGACCAGCCTTCCTGGACGCGGAACGACTCATCTTCCTCTTCGAGAAGGAGAGGAAGCCAGCGGAAGCTTTGAAGATCGAAGGAGAGGCGCAGAATGGGGGGAAGCTAATTCGCTAAGCGCCAAACTCTAGATAGAGAGCTGGATGACTCTTTCTTTATTTGGGGGAATATAAATACTAAATGGTCCTTATAGTTTCGTGACATCAGTTATTCCATCCCTATAATGGAAAACCTAGTCATGTTAGGACATTCTTTCCTTGCTCTTTGCGGTATGTGTATATGATGAGCATATTATGGTACTTCGTTTGATTATTTAAAAACACCTAAGATTAAATTAAAAAAAAAAACAATCTACCAAAAATGTAGGCAAGTTGAATTCTCTTCACACTTGCTTCACTCGGTCAAACTTTTCCTTCTACATTTGCAGCGTTTTTTTCAAAATAAAAAAGGTTATAGTAATAAAAATTCAAATAAATAATTGTTGACAAAGATGTTTAGAGCATTAAGTTCGAATTGGATGATCAATCAAATGGTTCACAAGCGGACAATGTCATAACTAGTTGAATACGAAGTAAAGCTATCGTTAGACCACTGCCACAACAGATTTTAGCATACTAGGGGAAGAAATTCTCAAATCTCATGATATCAAGATTTCATATCCCTTTAATCTCAAAATCTGACTACCAATGTCTTACAAAACATAACCTAAGAATTGGCCATATACATCGCCCATGAGACTTGGCTACAAATAACAGTTTGGTTAAACCCGAACTAAGAATATTTCTTCTCGACTATTCCAAACCTAAATGATCTTCAAATCGGAATTCGCCCATAAATTATGCATTATATCGATCTAGGTTTTGATTTGGTTCGGTTCAATTTGACCGAATGCATGCCCACCCCCATATAGAAGCATCTCATACACACAATTTCAATTACTCGAGTTAACCTCATTAGCATTGTTTGCTAAATCATCCAACGGACTTAGACTGGAAAAATCTCATGCTGGAGTCGAAATTGATATAGGATTTTACCGGTATGAAACGGTAAAACCATGTTTAACCACTAAATACTCTACTAATAGGACTGTAAATGAGTCGAGTGGAGCCGAGTTTTGACCTAGCTTGAACTCGGCTTGACTTATATAGTAAAACACTGGCTTATGTTTGACTCAAGTTTCGTTCGAGCTAGGCTCATTAATGAGCACACGAGCTCTACTCGAGTTTGACTTATCGATTAGATTGCAAGATTGGCTCGAGTTAAAGTATCATATCATTTAATTCATAATCATCTTCAATATAATTATTCATATCATGTACGTTAGTTAATAGTAATTAGTATCTTACGAATCTATGGTACATCATTTCTCTTTTAAACTATAAACGAGACATATTTGATAACGTGCTCAAATTCTTAATTAGCATCATATATATGTGGTTGGATATATAATATGAATATTCAACAAGCCAATGACAAACTATTAAATGATTTACTTATAAGTTGGTAGTCAAGGCGGCGGGCTAGTCATATTGTCGAGGTAACTTATAACGCAAAACAACTAGCTTACGAGATGAGCTCAACAAGCTATTGGGCTTCGATGGTTCAAAATCTTTGGAAGGCGAATAAGATTTTGGTCAAACTCAATTCATTAGCGAACGAGGCGAGGGTCAAAACCTTAGGACCGAACAATGAATGGAATGCATCCTAATTAAAGATGCAGATCAGAGTCTCCTTACATCAGAGTGTAGTGTTCTTTTGTTAGGCTTGTGGGCCGAGACATAGATAGCATAGCATAGAATACCTCCAGCCTTCAACTTTTCCCCATGGGCTGCAGGACCAGCTGGTTTATTTGAGTTACTACGGGAAAAGTTAATCTGCTAACTTGAAAATTCGTTAGCAGATACTAACTGATATCCAAAATACATGAATTAGTATCCAAGTACTAAAGTATCTAGAAAGCACAAACTAGTATTCAAAGTTGGCTAACTGATATCCACCATGAATCAACTATTATCCCAAATTCACAAACTAATATCTAAACAACACAGAATAGTATCCATACAGCACATAAATAGTATCCATACAGCACATAAGAGTATCCAGATAACACATAAGAGTATCCATATTGAATACTAATTGGTTGGTTGTGGATATTAGTTGGTAGCTGCTATCTGGATACTAGTTTGTGATGTTTTGAATACTAGTCTGTGCTATCTAGATACTCAACAGACTTGGATATTAGTTCATACATTTTAGATATTAGTTAGTATATACTAACGAATTTTCTAGTTAGCAGAATAACTAGGCTGACTACTACGTGCTCCGAATCGGAACCACATTGCCTTGGCAAAATTCAATTGCAAACGGCCAAGAAAGACAGTAATAATATCACACACAGTTCACAAGCTAGCTAGCTAAGCTAAGTAAGGGTCATCATCATCACATGCACAACTAGGACTACATTAATTAATTAATATTACCACTTGTTTGCTGTCTCGTCCTCCCTCCCACTATTTTACTTCGAATCCCTCCTGCTTAATTTTGTGTTCCCTTTCCCCTTACGCAACCTAACTCAGCTTTGTCCTTTTTCGGAGCAACAATTGAAATTCATATAATATTACATTCTATTCGGGATATAACGGAATATTCCTTCCCTTGCCTACCGGAATCCAACCAGATTCCTATACATAGCAGCATTGAATGCACTACTACTGTACGTATAGACCAAGTTCCCATGTACATGCACGTTTCAACCCTAAGCCAATTTACATAATTATTATTCGCTCTGTAATTGTTATTATTATATACAGATAATCAGTTCTACATTCATGAATATATGCATGCTTCTATATAAACCTTCCACATATATATATCAGAGCTAGCTATATAAAAACATCCTCACAAGGCCGGCCAACTCCTTTGATCTTTTCCTCCTTTGTTCCACTTTCCTGCAATGAGGTAATTTCCTACTACTTCCCCTCCATCGTTCAATATACATTTCTCGCAAATTTTCACCAATTAATTATACCACAAGCTGTGTGGCCTCATGTCTACGGACAGCTCCTCCTTCCAAGAGTTCTTCGACCGGTGGTTGGTTGAGCAAAACCTCCACCTCGAGGACCTCATTTCCGCCACCACGGCCCAACGACCGGCCACCCAGTTCCTTCGAGATCTGGCCGGGCAGGTCATGCAACACTACGAGGAGTACTACCAAGCAAAGTCTGCATGGGCACACCAAGACGTACTAGATGTGTTGTCCCCATCTTGGAGAACCTCTCTAGAGGAAGCCTTTCTATGGATCGGTGGGTGGCGTCCGTCCACGGCTTTCCACCTCCTCTACTCCAAGTCAGGGCTCCAACTCGAGACCCGCCTTCACGATGCTGATGATATGGGCCACCGCAATGGCGCGGTGACCAATCTGCCTGGCCTTTCCACAACCCAGTTCCACATGATCAACGAGCTCCATAAGAATACCATCAAGGAGCTGTATGTATCCTATTTCATCTTTCAGTATCAAACAAATGTCATTTAATTATATAGGAATCGATTGCGGATGCGTCCGTGGTTGACCTCTCCCACACGGTAAGCGAGATGATACGGAGGACCGAGGAGGGCGATGGTGACGTGGCGGGCCCAATGAGCACCAGCGTGATGATGAATGAGCGGGTGGAAATGGCGTTGGTGCCGAAGAAGAGGAAGATGGAAGAGCTGTTGCGTAAGGCGGATGATCTACGGCTCACGACAATTAGGTCCATCGTTGACGACATTTTGACTCCCATCCAGGCCGTCCATTTCCTGATCGCCCTAGCAGAGTTGCACCTTCGGGTTCATGATTGGGGGAAGCAGAGAGATGACCAGCGTTAGGCGGGACCCGCGATCACCCATGCGTTGTCCACGTAGACTTGTTCGTTATGTCACATAGTGATGTTGTGTAATAATAAAATTATAATCCGGATTTAGATATACTTGCTAGCTAGTGTATTGTGGGTTTTGATTATGTTGGTTTTTGTTGAAGTTCAGTATCTGCTGTTCTTTTAGTATTAATTGTTTAATTGTATGGTGTAACTTTTTCAAATTATGATGCTCGGTGATGATAAGTGCACGCGGTTTTTCTCCCTAAATCAAGTCAATATAATTATTCCGACTGAGCCATGAAAGAAATGATAACTTATAAGGGATATAATGTGAAAATCAATAGATATCAATTGGGATTGGAACAGGAAAGTAGCTAACGTAACCATCATTGCGTGAGAGTAAGAGAACAAAGAAAACTTAAATTATAAGCATAATATCGGGAACACGAAATTTCACTTATAGCATAAACAGAAAGCCCATTCATACGACGAAAATGAAGAAGCTCTAGAGAAGTAAGTCCTAATTAGTTACCTTACAATAGTTAAAATTTCTAAATGCATGCTCAAATTTCCATTAATTAAGTTATAAAAACCTGATTCAAGTTTGGAGAGATCGTCAGTCACTTCCACAGTTGTTTGCGAGGTGAGACACGTCCCCTACACGTCGACCTATGGTGATCATCGTGATACAAATAAATAAGTTATATATTGTTCAAGATAGTCCACACGTACGTACGGTATATATGTATCCAGGTGGTTCTTAAAACACAGTAAACATAAAGATATAGGACTCATGCATGTGCATGAGTATCTTATTTTTTATCGATTTGTATCTTATTTGTTGTAACTCGAATTCTAAATATTTTTTTGGCACAAATTAATCGATTTTATTATAATTTACAAAATTCTATCCATCTTCGATATATTTCAAGAAAAATTGTACCATCTATTACCACCTCAGCACCACCTCCTAAACTCAAATTCAACATGATCTATTATGAGTTACAAATTTATAGGAAACAAAATTCATAGCCTTCAAATTTACCACCTTATGCCACCCTAGTACACAATAGTAAATTATCGTGGCAGACGGCAGTAAAATAATAATTGGTTGTTAGCATATTAATAACGTAACTACTATCATGTATACAATAATTATACAATAAATATGGTCATACACCAACATATACTTCCAAATTCTAAGAATACCACATTCTTGATCACCACTAGGTAAAATAAGTCAAAGTGAATATAATATTGAACAACAAGATTTTCTTACACAAAATTCGAAAAGCGATATTATCCCAATAAATTTGATTGGATAAAGTTGAGGCAGCTCACCGAATTTGTTCCCTCTCCCTCCACTTGCAGTAATTAATTAGTAAAATTAAGTTTTGGACTATGTACATAATTAATTGCTGGCGTAACACGAAAAAGTGTTACTCCAAACTTCCATGCACCATAAAAGCTGTTGAATTTCCCCACCATACATCATGTCATCATCGCCTGTCGTGTTGTGTTGTGTTGATAGACAGATGGATTGGATACCTCCACCATTCAACTTTTCCCATGCCATGCCATGATGAGGTAAGCTGAAGCTGATCAGTTCAGTTCAGTTCAGTGCTCCGAATCCGTACCAGGAAGTGAACCACACAATGCACATTATTCTACGTACCATCCATTTCACCAAAATTCAAATTGCATGCAAAATGCCGAAAACACGAATCACAAGTCACATGCAGCTTCCTCACTTCTCTCCCATTGTTTTAATTCCATACCATCCTGGTTTCTGCGTTCCTTACCCACTACGTAAACACCGAGCTTTGTCCTTTTCCCATGGTCCATTAAACCGTACCGTACCGGCGGTTCATCCACAAAATACCAGTACCGGAGGCTAAACCGATAGACGGTATTTAACGGTACTAACGGTTGAACTACAATTAAACCACGGTTTTGTCATAAAAATACCCTATCGCTTACTTTTCCGGTACGGTTTCATGGACCATGCCTTTTCCATGAGTTACATTAATTCACAATGTACATGCATATGAATATATTATTCATACTACTATAATTATTAGCAGACAAATTTTACAATGCTATATAGCATTGGTGTTATAGGTTTTGGTACAACTTCAAGTTGTACCTTTAACGTTATGGTATAACTTCAGCTTGTACCTATAATAATTTACAAATTCTTTTATGGTACAACCTGAACTTGTACCTTTATGTGATGGTACAACTTAAAGTTGTGAAGTTGTACCAAAATATAAGGGTACAAATTCCTTTATGGTACAACCCAAACTTATACATTTTACGTTATGGTACAACTTTAAGTTGTACATTAAAGCACCCATGCCTTTATAGCATAGTAGAAGTGCTCTTATTAGCATTGCCGGGAATCAATCAGCGGTTGTCTCCAATTTCGATGTAACCAACTGTTTTTATTTTATTTTTATGAATGAGTACGTAGTTGTGTATTCAATTGAAAAGAGGAGGGTTTACAAGAAGTGGACTAACTTCAAAATACAATCAAAATGAATACAAAGAAGAAAATAGACAATGGAAGCAAGGCTAGTAAAACAGAGGTTGAAAGGGCGGAATGAAGTTGTTTCCAAAGAATATGGAACGAAAATCACAACTTTTTTCAGCGGAATAAGTTTATGAACTATAATGAGACTGCAAACTGTTCGACTAGTAATCTTGATAGCAGTGTTAATATTGTGTGCTTCATCCTAGAAAATTACTCCCTTGAAATTTCTTTGGATTCACAAATGCCAAAATATAATAAAGGGTAGTAGGCCAGTAGCTTCACTTCTTTCCGATTAAATACAACAATCCCTTGAAAAACTACTCCATTCCATTCAATAAGCAGATTTCTGCATTGTTTCGATATAACCAACTCTAAGAGTGGATAGAAAGCTTACAAACATTCGTTTTTGGAATCTACATCAAGTACCCACGAGGCCACGATTACTTTTCTGACCTTAGCTTGAAAGAAAATTTTGACCGGCGGCTCGCCGAACAAAACAAGCATCTGGTACTACAAGACCATGTCCGTATGGACCCACCACGACGTGCTGGCAGTGCTATCACCATGAAAGTGTTACTTTGGATTGCATCTTTTTATATCGATATCGGAAAACAATGACATAAGGATGTGCATGCACCTCGATCGATCAACTTGGGCACCTTGTCTGATGTATTTATTTGGACAAATTAAAGGACAAAGTTAATCTTCACTCCATCAATCAAATTCAAAACCAACCCAAAGGAAAGGAAAGTTGTCGCTTCCTTTAATTGAAGACATGAACAGTACCTAATAATTTAACGTTACTTTGTTTTATATTTATGAATGAAACTGGAAACAGGGAGGGAGCTGCTGTTGTGTTTCCTGATCCTAGCTAAGGAGGTAATTAAACTCATTATTAGTTTAATTTGTCTCCTTGTATCTTTTGCCGAAAACAAAACAATGCAACGTTACGTTGTTTGCCTAGATGAGTTTCGTAGGCCATGTTTTCTTTGTTTCGTTATTCTAATTTCCTTTTTCGTATTGCATGACGCCGTTCATATATACATAAGCCAATCACTAGGGGACACGTATATATGTATCCATGTCTGCAGGCCAAGTTCCCATGTGTTGTTGTTAAGGACACATCAATATATATATATATATACTTGTTGGTTACCACTTACCATTGTTACCCTACCCTTCCACGCATATATATATATCATCCCCAAGCCCAAGGATCGGACTAGAGCGCTTCATCCCTCAACATAAGAGGAAAAGAAAGAAGTAGTTCCTAGGTAGCTAGCTACTTGAAGACGTACGGACAATTAAGTTGTTATATATATATATATGTCTTTGGCGAGAGTGAGCAGGGTCTTAGCACCCGGCGGCGCCACGAGTAGTAGTAGTAGTAGTAGCAGCCCTGCCCCTCCTCCTGGTCCTCCGCCGCATCATCCAGCGACCGTCGACACGTTCCAGCAAGTCTTCGACACGTGGCTGGCCGATCAGGACCGGCACCTCCAGGAGCTCGTCTCGGCAGCCGAGCGGTGCAGCGACCAGCCGGAGCTCCTCAGGGGTCTCTTGGGCCGGGTCATGGGCCAGTACGAGCAGTACTACCGGGCCAAGTCCTTGTCGGCCCAGCAGGACGTGCTGGCCATGCTGTCCCCGCCATGGAGGAGCACGCTAGAGGACGCCTTTCTGTGGATCGGCGGGTGGAGGCCTTCCATGGCTTTCCACGTCATCTACTCCAAGTCGGGGCTCCAGCTAGAGACGCACCTGCTCCAGCTCCAGGGGATCCCTGCCAACGACAACGATGACTTGGCCGACCTCTCAGGGGAGCAGCTCCGCCTCATCGACCACCTCCAGCTGCGCACCATCCGGGAGGAGCGCCACATAACGGAGGAGATGGCCAGGGTGCAGGAATCCGCTGCGGACGCCTCCATGGTGGAGCTCTCCCATTTGGCCACCCAGATGATCATGCGGCGGACAACCCCATGTCTCCGTGTGAACCAGCGGGTGGATGCCACGTTGGTGGCCAAGGAGAATCAGATGGAGGAGCTCCTCCACGCGGCAGACGATCTACGCCTCAGGACGCTCAGGGCCATCGTTCACGACATCCTCACTCCCATCCAGGCCGTCCATTTCCTTATTGCTGTAGCCGAGCTGCACCTACGTCTTCATGATTGGGGGAAGCGCCGAGATGCCGTCGCCACATCTCACCCCTCCATCTGATCCAGATTAGATTGCCACTCACTCCAAATAAATTAAATTAAATTAAATTAAAATAAAATGTTCTAGTATAGCTAGGCTTCCTTTATCGGCGGTAAGGGTTCAAGTTCAATCATGATAGGTTTTTGTTTTCCTTGTCTACTTTTTTGCCCTGATGATCTCTGGTTTGGTTTGGTTTGGTTTGGTTTTTCCCATTAATAAAGGTTTTAGATTATGGTATTGATCGATGATTATATTACTATGGTTTTATCGTTAATGATGAAACTATATTTAGTTCAAAGTGAATTAGATTGCAAGATGATAAGCTATTCACCGATTCCCTTCAAACTACAAGTTAATCACAAACAATGTTTATTTAGCCCCAGTTTTCCACTGTTTATAGATCGATCTATCATATTATTTTATCATAGTTATAATATAGAACTGTCTGTCTAATTAATTTTTTATATATATTACTTATTAGAGTTGATTAGGAATGATACTTGGGCAAAATGGAGCGGGTATCATATCACCTGATCACCATTCAAGAGTTGCTCCACCCACCTTGCATCCTGCGACAGGTTAGTCGGGCCCGGCCCGACCCATTTTATCACCATTCAAAAGTTGCTCCACCCACCTTGCATCCTGCCATCCTGCGACAGGTTAGGTGGGCCCGACCCTTCCTTTTTATAAAATGGGCCGAGCCAAACCCATCAGCCAGGTAAGAAGCCTAAATACATGGGCCAATGCTACTGTGCCGCGGTAAAAAATGCGACACCGGTGCCGCCAAATTCTATTCGTCCACGTGAATATTGAAAAACTGATGTGGCATTAATTGAATTCGTACAAACTCGGTGAAAAACCGCTCGCTGTTCGCCTATCAACCGAGACAACCACCGAACCAGTTGTTTTATGTTTTATTTTCTCTCTCTCGATATAAATATATATTTTACGATACTCCCACCGCGACTCCCGTGGTCGTGAATGCGCCGGCGCTGGCCGGCCCTGCCGCTGCTTCGTCGAGAACTGAGAGTCCGTCGGCCGATTCAGCAACGTCGACGGAGGCTTCTAGTTCTATTGTTGTTTTCCCGTGTACTCGCTCTCCTCTGACTCCATCCACGGCGACTGCAGCGGCACCGGGTCCAGTCGACAAGTCGGTTTTAGAGTGCTCGATCCATGGGACTGAAGCTCGATAATTTTGAGTGTGCTTCGGAATTCTTCTCGCCGTGGCAGTAGTGTATCCCTGTAGCCACTAGACTGTACGTCTGCCTAGTGTATACATTATAACTGAGAAGCAATTTAGTGTATGAACTATTTAGTTATTATTATTTGTTTACTTTTGCTTGTTTTATGAACGGTGATTAATAATGTGCATAGTTACTACATATTTCATTTAATATGTGTATCATGTGTTTAAAATCTTCCGTTTTTTACTTTTCGTACTATTTCCAAATCATTTAATTTTTCCAGTTAATTTGACATATTTCATAATAAACAGTTATAAAATTCATATAACATGTTTAATATTTACATTTAATGATTTAAATCGCTAATTTTTTATTTTTAAGATAATTAATTTAATATATTTTATGACCATGGACATACTATTAGACGTACCATTAGTTTAAAGACAAAGCAAAATGATCGTACGTATGTTATATTTAACTTATCCATACCGTATTTGACTAATTATGATAAATATATTATTTCCTTTTTTACTAGAGAAAAAAAAAACAATTGCATTATTCATTGTTGTGGTTATTAATTAATTATAGGGTTAATATTTTCGTATGGCCTGAACTTTGACAAAAATAAACATCCTGGCCAATCTTTTCGATCTATAACATCCTGGCCCGAACTATACACCAAAATAAACAATTTGGCCAAACTCGATGTTTGACCGTTAACTTGGATGGTCAAACGCGTTGACTAACGGTCAACGCGCCACGTCACTGCCACGTCACTGCCAAGTTAGAAGATCTGATAAATATTTATTTATTTTCATTTTTTATTTTTGGTTTAACTAAGGTATTAGATGATTTTTTTAATTTATAATAATTTGAAATTAGGGAATGTGTGGAAATTGTGAATTATTTTAAATATTTTATGCTGACTTGGCAGTGACATGGCGCGTTGACTAACGGTCAACGCGTTTGACCGTCCAAGTTAACGGTCAAAAGTCGGATCTTGCCAAATTGTTTATTTTGGTGTATAGTTCGGGCCAGGATGTTATAGATCGAAAAGATTGGTCAGGATGTTTATTTTGGTCAAAGTTCAGGCCATACGAAAATATTAACCCTTAATTATATTACCAAGTAATTAATTTTGTGTCCTATTTGCCTTCTAAGTCTCTCGCTTTTTTTCGTGTAAAAGAAGGAAACTCGGTTTTCATTAGGTTTTTCGCCCGACTCTATCTCTATATAAGGCGTAGTACGGACTACGGTCATATCGTAAGCAAGCCGTCACAATGTAGTCCTATAATAAAACGTCAGTTGTGGCATGTGAGCTCTTTCAAACTTACAGTAGATTAGTCTCGTTCAATAAAATACAAGAATAACACGTAAAATCTCTTGTTTCGGGTGTTCTTTCAATTCTGCTTTAACAAATTCTTAATTAATCAACCATTCATCAAACAAGCAAAGCAAGTTCGAACAATTGTGTGGAGGAAAAAATAATAATAACTAAATAGTTCATAGAATAAATTGCTTCTCATGTATGCACTAATTAAGTAGACGTACAATGTTACACTACGGCCCTGGCGAGAAGAATCCCAAGCCAACTGAAAATTATCCTGCCTCAGTCCCATGGATCGAGCACCCTAAACCGGCCCGGTGCCACACCTGTGGCCGTTGCAGTTTCGTGGATGGAGGAATCGTTGGAGAGCCACGGGAAAACAATAGAAGCCTTCGCCGGCGTCGCTAAATCTGCCAGAGTCGCAACAGCCAACAAGACTCAGTTCTCGGCGAAGAAGCGGCAGGGCCCAGCACCGGCGCAATCACGAGAGTCGCGGTTGGAGTATCATAAAATATAATATTATTTTGACCTAGAAAGGGAAAATAAAAAATAAAAAAAGAAATAAACAACTTCCCTGATTCGGTGTTATCTCGGTTGGCTGGCTACGGATTTTCGGTTGGGTTTCTACAAATTCAATTAATGCCACGTCAGCTTGCTACTGCCTACATGGTCCAATACAATTTGGCTGCACCGGTGCCGCATTTTTAACAGAGGCACTGTAGCATTTAGGGGTGGGCATTGGGTGGGTCGGGTGGATTTTGACCATAAAATGCACCCACCCGCTCTTAAACGGATTGATAATTTTTAACCCACCACCCACCCACATTTAGTCTCGGGTTGGGTCGGGCGGATGGTGGATGATGCGGATGGGTTTGTGGGTTCACCCACATCACAATGCATATAATATAAAGGAGTCAACTTGACATGATAATAGGTGAAGAGAATCATCGAGGGAAACCAGAAGTTGAAATAGGGCGAAAAATGTCGAATTAGTTATTAAATTGGACAAAAATTCTATTATGAAAGAGTTTTCTACAGATTGAGACGATTATTAGGTGCAAGGAACTAAGGAAAATAATTCCACAAAGGAAAGAGCGGTGATCTAGGCACAAGAATTAGAGGAAAAAGTAAAGGGAAGAAGAGGGTATCTCTATTTGGAAGGTTGGCTTTGAGGTTCAAACTCCGGGAGCAATCCGAGTTTATATCTAACGTCTCCACTCTCCTCTCTCTAGCGCCAACGACTTTGATTTTTTTGCTGTTGGGTTGAGCGGGTCACCCGCACACTCACCCACAACCCACCCACCACCCGGCGGATGGCTCCCAGCGCAACCCGTCACCCACCCACAGACCCACCCACTTAACGAAATTCGGGTCAAATGCGGGTGGGTCGGCCCAAACCCGCGGATGATCCGCCCGCATGCCCAGCCCTAGTAGCATTGGCCAAATACACGCCATAAGAAAGAGATGTTATATGTATATATACAATAAATAAAAATCAAATGAGAAAACTTGAAGTTCTATTTCAAATTTCCTGCATTCAGAGTGAAAGTAGGAAGGATATTTTGATCTTCACAATTACTTTTTTTTTATTCATCAAAAAGACACTTATTAGGATTCGAACCATGACCACTTTAAAGAAAAACAAAGATCATAACCAATCACACTAACTACATTTGTTGTATCTTTTTAAATTAAAAACATACAATCGCATAGAGAAAAACCCTTCCCCCTTTTTCTTTTTTCTCTGTGAAACAGGCCAACTTACTGTACACATGCGGATTTAAACGGGCCCAGGAGTGTCAATTTTTTTTCTTTAAGTCCTTTTATTTCTCCGTAGTGGTAAAATATATATGAAAAGGCAAAAACAATACTCCTTTTTATTGCTAAAAAGAAAAAAAATTGAAGAATAAACTAATGCATGAATTCTAATCGGCTAATCATAAAATAAAAGAGTTGAATGAGCCTGACCTACACGGGATTTGCCCATCAAGTAAAACAAATGAACATCATGGGTTTGTCATTCTAAAACAAGCTAGTTTCTCTAGTATAATATATATTATGCTATTATTTTATATCTTAGTGGCTAAAATTTTAAAGTTATTCAATAGTTCAACCTCGACCAACCCAATTATTATAATTTTTATCATTTCAAATATATATTATGTAATTATTTGATATCATAATGATTAAATTATAGTGTATATTATAGGGAATCGTTTGGTATTTGTTAGTAAAAAACTAAACAGAAAGATCTATTTTGGTTATTTTTAACATTAAAACGATCCTAAACATTTTCAGTTTCCTTTCGAAATTCTATAGTTTTATTCCCGAATCAGTGATGTGCAAATGGTGAATTGCAGTCATCTCTTTTTTTTCATTATTTTTTATTTTCAATAGAAAGTTTAAAAGTAAAGAATAATTAGAGTTTGGCACGAGTCGGTCAAACAGGCTGAATTTCAAGTTTTGGCCCGTTTTGATCAAGTCTAATTTATAATCACATGGTTCCCTGATACCCGATAAGAATCTCAATCCAAACCAGTTTGGCAGGTGAGTCAGTGTTTACCATCATTTTCTAGGGATACAGGAACGGTGGTTCCTATCCCACTCTTTAGATTTTTATCATGGCTTGGCAAAAAACCAGAAAGCACAATGATGATAAGATGAAAGTTTTATAAAGCAAATTAATCGGCCAACGGGCCGAGTAAAAACTAGCAACGATTGTGAGATGCTCATTTCCCGAAAACCGGCGAGATAGGCGATTTTTTATTCGATTTTCTGGAATTCGGTTTTTATAAAACTTACTCCACCTCATCATATTACCATAAACAATATTGTTTCACAAGGTAACATGTACTTGATTTTGGTTCATAAGGCTGATTTTTGATTTGTTGCATCATTCATGTCTCTTTCCTACTAAAATTCACTATTTTTATCACATGTTTCCCAAAAAAAAACTATACAACAATAAGCTATACACCCCATTACATTATCAAATTTCATAATTCACTAGTATATATATAGTTAGTTATAAACACATTTCTCCCGAGAAGGAAAACTGAAAGGGAGATCAAAATGGCGGGAAAATAGATCGCGTTCCCTCTCTCGAAAGGGGGAGTGGAGCAGATCTGAAAACACAAAGTCGGATAATCTCTGAACCATCGCCGCTTTAGTTTCGTCTGCCGGCTGGAGGGAAGTAGCGATTTGCAGGGGAAGGAAAACACAAGGTTGGGTAATTAGAGCGACCGAGCAAGCAAGAGAGGGGATAAAGATGGCCGAAACGGAAACCCTAGGCATCCTCCAAGACCAAGAGGTGGAGTCTCTGGTGTCTGACAAGCAATCATCAAGTGGTAAGCTTCTCCTGTCTCTCCCATTCAATCGCGTCTTTGTTATCTCTACTTTTCACAAGAATGCGGGAATTTCTCTGACTCAATTGCATGCCCAATTAATTCCATCAGAGTGCAAAGTAAGTAAGACGAATTTAGGGATGGGGTTGAGTGACTGACCCGAAATTCTTCAATCTCTGCTTTGAGGAAGCTTATTACTCGAATTTAGTTACAGTAAGGTTTTTTATTCTCTTTGTTACCAGCTTATATATGTGTTCGCAATGCCAATTATTCAGATTGTTACGTCATAGTTCGTTCAATCTGAGGTATAAGTAGCACCTAGGTTTGGATTGTGCATGTTTTCGTTCTTTCCCCCCTTCTAAATTTGCTAAATCTGTATTTGTTATACTTGGGGTCTGAGCTGTACTGTCCTTTAGGTTTCATACAAGTGGCTAAGTCGCAACTTTTTGGTGCCATCAAATGATGCTAAGAGGTAATTTTTGCTTTAATTTGTTCAGTTTAGTTCTGATGCCGCCTATAAATTCTGTTGCACATATTTCATTTACGTTTCGGGGAAATGATGATATTGTTGTTAGGTTGCTCCAAGACCTTGTTGATAGACGCGAAAGCAGTTTGGATGTAGTGTATACTGTTTCTGGTTGGCTGAATAACAACCCTCCAGCTCCAAGTTACAAAGTACAGCTTGTCAATGGGCTTGGACTTGAAAAGTAAGGTTTCTAATCAAGGATGCTTTTCATCTAGCAATGCTAATCATTTGAACACCCCCAACACTCGGTGATGTCCAGTATATTTCTCTAGGTTCATCGGCTGCTAACAAACGAATGTACATGTTGATCATATCAATAGTACCTAGTGCTTGATTTTAGTCTAGCAATGCGATAGTACGTACTATCTTAATTTTACGATATTGGGTTCGATCAAATTGGTTATATCGTTTGTCGGGGGAGAAAAAATATATTGCATGCAAGATCTATGAAGAGGAAACAAGAAAAATTGTCAAACAAATTAAATAAAACAAGTACATACGAAACCAACCCAATACAGAAGGAGATTAAAGAAGACAAAAGATCCACCACGAAGTTGGATGTCATAATTGCCAAAGAAAAGTAAGTAACGTGAGTTGATAATTAGGCGCCCAAACTCCGAACAATGCTTAATACGGCAGAATATGTGCCAAATGCTGAACAGATTAGCCCCACTGCGATGACTAATACACACAATGAAACCTGCATCACATATGCAGCAACAAACTAATCAAGCGGCCGGGAGAAGAAATGCCCAAGTTTAATGATGAATACAATTAATTAATTGGATTTTTATAATCATATCGATGCAAGTTATATATATATATATATATGTGAGGGGATGCAAATCATAATTCTATGTCATACCTGGTAACGGTTCACTTTATTCCTCAAAATGCTCAAGTAGCTAGCACAAGGAAGGATGAGGGTCTGCCACAAAATATATGCATCGATCTTTCCATGTAAGTTGAGGTTTAGTGAATTTGTTTATCACTAAAATTTGAGATGAGATAATTGACGAAATAATTGGTGTTCATCCTAGCTAGCTAGTCAATTAATTAACTAGCTATCGGAATGAGAGACGGAAAAAAAAGAGAGTATTAATTACCACAAACATGGTGAGCAGTGATCCGATCAATGAGAGGACGGGACCTGGATTAATGTAAAGCATGCATGCATGCAGAGAAGCAAACATTAATATACGTAAGCAGTAGAGACTGTACGTCTGTTCCTATATATATATATATATATATATAATACTGTATGTATGTATGTATGTACTGACCGAAGAAAGGGACAGAGATGGCCACAGCCAAGGTGGAGATGACGAGCAGCGTCCTAATGGCAATGACGTGAAGGTAGGACCTCTTGTTTGATGGTATCAACTCCTCCAGGCTCATTGCCACCGGTGTCATTGTCAGGGCATACGTGATCGATCGATCAGCAAATTTTGCATTAAGGAAAAATTAAACCCGCCACATGCATGAATGATCCTAATTAGTTAAAACAAACACTTTGCGATGCGATGAATGAATGGTTCCATGCTATTAATTATATTTATACGGCGAAGAAGTTGGTAATAATTAAGTGAATATATATATGTTGGGAAAGGATATTTGGTGAACGGATTGACCACCTACACCAACAACAACAAGAAATGAACAACTAGTTATAGTACTTCCAACTATACATAAAACTAGAGCTATATATACATATATATCCTAATTAATGGTGGGGTGTTAATTAATTAATAAATATGATTTTACCGTGGTCCAGACAGCGATCTTGGAAGCAAGCAGATGGCTAGGCATGTTAAGGGTGAACTGAGACTCGGTGGCTTCTCCGAACATGGTGTACCCCATCACCCCAACTCCAACGTACATCACCGTGCACACAATGAAGCTGCATGCATATATAATAATAATAATAAATTAATCCATCCACGTAGCTAGCTAGGAATAGGATACTAGAGTAGTTGCATTGCATTGCATCAAGCACGTTGGTTCGTAGGATTAGGATAGTAATTAGTTAGTTACCATGCGAGGAGGAGAGCAGGGTATTGGTTTGGGCGGGCCATGGAGCTGTAGATGTTTGGGAACACAGCATGTCCCTGGTAGCAGTAGCCGTAGAGTCCAATGGCCACCGGCAGAGTGCCCCAGTTCACCGCTCTCCCACTGCTGTGAATGTTGACCTCATCCACTACCCCACTCCACAACAAGCACACCACCACCACTATGCTTGCAACTACTCCACCAGCTGCATCAATCAATCCCTCACTTGATCAGATTAGATCATCATTACTTTGTTACTATGTAATTAAGTAACCATGCACCCACAATTATCTAAAGATTACATCTTATCATATGTAGGCTGTAGCCAATAAAAACAATTAATTTAAGATTTTTTACGCACGTACGTACCGGAGATGTAACTGAGAATACTGAGATCTCGAAGCCAGACTGTGGGGAGCACGGCAAGGGTGGTTAGGAATGCAAACAAGTGGTGGGGATCCAGCTCCACCTCAACTACACCACCCAAACTTAGATGAGCATTTGGGAATAATGCCGACAAGTTGTCGCTCTCCAGAATGATGTACTCAACACAGCAAGCCTGCACCCAGCCCAGCCATTGAGATCGATATATTGAAATTCATTTTTTACTGTTTCATAGATCTAAGGATCGATTTAGCGGGCTAGGTGTCAGATTCATTCAATTGCTGCTGGTGTCTAGCTAGCTAGCTAGTCCATGCATGTTAGCAGATCCATCTCGTAGCTAGCTAGGTTCTTGTCTGTTTGCTTGTTTTGGGTGAACAAACTGCATGTGACAGGCAGGCAGGCAGCATGCATGTAATTGTAATGTTATGGGTCATCCGATCCATGCATGTTACATCTCTGACGAGAGAGAGTCACAACTCAACTCAACTCTCTTGTCATCTTGCTTACATACAGATACAGCTAGTATATGTATCACATGGCAATCAAAGTAGACATTTTCCCAATCTTAATATTATAATTTTTGAAAAAAGGGTTTCAATCAAGTGATAATATATACTAGTAGTTTTGAATTTTAAAATTTTATTTTTGAATCACCTACTTATAAATTAACATTGAAATGGATGAATTACTACTACTAGCTAGTTAAATTCGAGTATACAACCAACCAACCATGTTCATATATAATATAACCCTATGATATTGGTTCGACTCGCGCGTAGCAAGTGTAATACTTCATCTTGAGTACAGTTAAAAGATATCTCAAATTTCTAGTTTTGTTTCACAACTGTGCAATATAAATCATTATGTGCATTAGTTTGCATAGACAATATTTATTCTTAATTACTTATCCCAACTTTTTGTTATATATACATGCATGTGATGATGAAGCTAGCTAATTAATGACAAAAAATTAGTTCCCTTTTTATCCGATTATTAGCCACCTCCATATATAATATACTTGAACCATCCAAGGATAAGGCTGCATTATTCACATAGGAAATCATACAGTACTAACGAGTTGAACTGTCGTTTGTTTTGTTTTGTTTTGGTATGGATTTGATTTGATTTGATAGATAAGGGATGATTCATCCCGGCAGATAAACAAGAACACAGGGATAAGATGGGCCAGTGATACTCACATATAACTCCACGTACAAGATGACCTGCAGATCCACCACATAAAAAAGAAGACAAAAAAAAAAAAAAACATTCCCATATGTTAGAATTAACTTGTAGGAATTTAAGGATTGAATTGAGAGTCGCGAATTAAGAGTTTTTATCACATGTGACATGATATATGAGTGATCAACAATAATGTGTTTATTTAATTAGCATGTACAATCAAATTCATTAATAATGAATTTAGTTTAGTTGCTAAAAAAAGATTAGGTAGGAGGGAGCAATAATTAATGAATGAATATACGTACGTACCGCGAAAGCAATGCGACCAGTGGTGCCAAAGGCGGCTTGGCCAATATCAGGATAGGTTTGGAGGCCCGGGTGGGTGTCAAGGCAGTATCGAAGGAGCAGGCCGGTGTAGAAAGAGAGGAGTGCAAACAGGAGGAGCACAATCAACCCCAACCATCCTCCTTGCTTCACTGCGTATGGTGTCGACAAGATCCCGATCCCACACAGCACATTCACCCCTACAGTACACAACATTAATTAATAATCACCCATTCAGACACATGATTACATATGATATATCGATCGTTCGTTCGTCCATCCATGGATTCATGTTAGCGAACTAACCAAAAACTCGAGAAAAAAAAGGGTATTGACATAATGAGGGAGCAAATTAATTAAGGGTATTATAGACTGATCGACTAGTAGTAGTACCGTTAAGTAGTGCTTGGCCAAACGAGCTCTTGCGAGCGGGAGAATCGACTTGCGAAGGAAGACCACCGAGTGAGAGGTGATGGGAAGATTTCTGCAGCAGTTGTTCTTGCTTCACTACTACACGGTGCCCTTTTTCGTCGTCGTAATGGTAATGGTGATGGTCTTGATCATCGTGCAGTAACAAGGGTACTGCTGCTTCGGTGACTAGTACTTCAGAAGTTGGCCTTCTTCTCACTCTCAGGAATGAACTGCCTTGTCTGGACAGTGGGCTCTTGAGGAAGTTAATCGTTGGTGACACACTACTGTACATGTCCATCGACATCCTGCAAGTTAACACATCCATCCATCCATTTCTTAATTAAATATGTACGGTTAGGGTTACTATATAACATCATTTCGTTATGCAACTCTTACATTTCCTACATGTACCTTACTTAACTAGTGAGTAAATTTGTAAAGTGCGTACGATACGAGCGTATCTTGCACAATATGTACGTGATCTACACATTCAATTTAATATGCTTATATTAATTACTTGAAGGTGCAAATTGTACGTGATGTATTTTTTTCTAACAAGTTTTCGATCGAATCTCTTTTCCGAATCCTTCGCTCCACATTTCATGATTTGATTAAGGGATTTGGATCTATATTTATTAAGAAACAACAATCAGATCGACTTTGGATCTTAAGGAATAAATCGAAATAGCCCATCATGCATGTATGTATGAATTTAGACTTAATGACACAGTATGTACATGATTAAGATAAAAGATGTGGAGAAATCCATGTGCATGTGAGAGACTGTAAACAAGAGGAGTCAACAATTGTCGTCTTTCTCTAGGTTTAATAATAATAATAATAATAATAATAATAATAATAATAATAATAATAGCATATATGATAAACACAACATGCTGGAGAAAGGGATGGGGAGACATAAAATAATGGTGGGGTGGATCATTCATAATGCCTTTCTCAATTCTCATATATATATATATATATGTGATGTGATGTGATTTGATTTCCCACTAAACAAAACCCACAAAATTCCAACGTATATATATAACTATACCATGTTTTCTGTTCTCCTTCATATTTTTGAAATCATGTCACATATATTATCCAAATAATGTACATAGAAACTACATGCATGTGCAAACCTCAAATGATATGGCATTTGATGGCTTGCTTCATTTCAGAATTGATTCAAATTCGTACACGACAATTAACAAATAAAAGAAAAGATTAGTAAATTTGATCGAACTTATAAGTATAATTTGGTACAATTTTGATTCGAGCTAAGTAGTCCTTTTTATCTTTGTAGATGATCCGATTCATGCATATATATATATATATATCCAAAGATAAAAAAAAAAAATCAATCTGTGGTCTGTGGATCAAACAAAAACAACCCTTGGGCACCAGAAAGTAGCCGCCCGGGGGATGGATGATATCAGAGAAGCCAATACGTGTGGTGTGGGTGTTAAACGAAAGCAAGCAAAATGAATGGATAGATAGCATAGCATTGATTTGATTTGATTTGATCCCAAACAAGATAAGGGTAGCTAGATTTATATTGGAGCATTGCAATGCCCATGAATGACAAGGACGAATCATCACTCAAAAAGTAATTAATAATGCACAGACTAGAATTTTTTCAGTTAATTAATTAATTAGTATCAGAAAGAGAGACCCTTTACCGAAAACAAAAAAACCTTTACCGAAAAAGAAAGAGAGACCGACCGACCTGTAACTTTGAGGCCAAGAAGGAGTGTGGGAGGCATGCCGATCGTCACCGGGCTCCTCCACGGACTCCTCGGAAGCCAGCCGATTGAGCCCGTACTTCCCGCCGCCGCCGTTGACATCCTTGTTCTCTTCATCGACGTCGTCCTCGCTTTCCACGTAGTTCAAACTCTCGTCCGACGCCGAATTCTTCATTCTTGAGCTAGCGGGAGTCGGGAGTTGGAGAGTGTGATGCGGCGCGCCATACCAGAAAAGGAAGGCAGATGTATATATACACAATAATTCTTTCTTAATTAATTAGACTACTCCCACTTATTATCTTGTGTTGCCTTACCATTAATTTACCAAAATATATTCACTTCCCCAATTTCCCTTACTTAAGTAATCAATCAGTAGTAGATCTAAACTCACGATATTGGATTTCATTCACGCTAGGCCCCACTCCCACTCATAGGCTGAGCTAGGCCATTTTGGTCTTGTCTAGGACCGGGGTAATTTTTGGAAGAGAACCTACAAGTAACATAAGAATGTTATGTCACTATATCACAACTCATTACTTGTTCATTAATTGCTAAAAATTAGTCAATTGATTCCATTCATGACACTATTATTCGACAACAGCTTGTACATGATGAATTATCTCGAGCAACGGTAGAGATGAAAGTTTATAAGTCATATATCCGTAAGTTTATTTGCTTATGAAACTAGAAAGAGCATTTTTAGCTTCAGCTGTATTAAGAACAACTTCAAAGTTGGATTGGCGATCAGTTTGCTAATAATTATTTTATGGGATACACTAAAAGATATTTGTTTAAAAGTGTACACAACGAATGTATTTTGCATTTGTTTCGGAATACAAAAACTCGTCGTGATTGTTTATGCAAAATATAATTGTATTATTTGATTGTTTCTTTATCTATGAATGAATTATTTGAATATTATTACTTTTAATTATATTTATTAAACTTTTATTAATTATATATTTATATTTTGAAAAGATGATACAGATAGGTTCTAATCCTGCCTCCGCCACTGCTCCCACTCCTACCCTTGGGTATATGCATAATTTGTACCTATTATTGATTCTACACTTTTACTCATATATATATATTTTTTATTATTTTAAGACAATCATGCATCCATCGTCATCCTCTTTCACATACCATAGCGATGAAAACGTATGTCAAATTTTTTCGAGCGGTAAGAAAGAAAAGAAAACCCGATGACTCCATATTTAGATTCAATGGTTAAATCTAACAATCGAGCGATCCCGACTTTTTTTTATCCAAGACAATGTTTCTAGTTTGCAGGTTCTTGTTGAATCTTTTTCACTGCCAGATATGAAAAACCAGAATAATTCTTTAAAGTAGGCATGAAAAAACTAAATAATATTTTCCTCATATATTTTGAAAGTATGTTTACCTAATTTAAATGAAAGATATGAGAAATTAACAATTCGAGAGCCATTCACGCACCGTCGGTGATCTTTAACAAGACATTGCTCATAATACGATAACAACGTAACCTCCAACATAAAAGAAAGGAGTCCATTCATTATTTGTAAAAAAAATGAAAAAAGAGTTCACTATCCATCAGACCTCACTGTGATTTGAATTTGAAACTCATAATCTCCAAGAGAAATTTGGGAAGGTATATAACTTACGAGAGTTGAACATTGTCCATCTGTTTCAAAATGATTTTTCATTTCTCCTGTTGCAGGATAAAAAATAATAATGCACTAGTGTACTGGTGTTTATTTTCGCTTTTACTCTTTCCATAGAAAAAAGCATCTCAAATTCCTCAAGAATCCCATGCCGTCCGTAATCTTCAATTAAGATGTCACTGATAAGAAGCTTCTCCGGGATTGAGTTGCGTTGCTCATCTTTTCTGGTGGTTCCTTCGGCTTCTTTGCTTGGTTGGGAGAAGGCTTTACGGCGGCGATCGAGGTCGGCCCAAAGAATACGGCAATCAAACATATATATACAGGAGGAGGACTAGACTTTTCCTCTCAAAGATAGGCAAAAGGAGACTTATCAATTAGGATTCCGGGTAGGGATGGCAATGGGTCAGGTTGGGTCGGGTTTTGCCAAACTCAAATCTAAATTCATGGGTTTATCCGTTAAAAAAATTTGGAGTAAAACTCATTAGGTTTGAAAAACTCAAACTCAACCCAACCCGCTTGGTATCCGCAGGTTCATGGGTACCCACGGGTTTTTGTCGTAAAAAATTCACAATAACAAATTCCTATCAAAATTAAAGTCAAATATCAATCTCTCCATACAAATTATCCATATATAAAATATCATTCTAGAAAATTCAAGCAAATCACAAATTAACTATACAAATTGTTCAACACCAATCTAGAAAACTCAAGAAAATTGAAGCAAATCACAAATTATTCATAAATAACATGATTAATTGAAAGTTTCTTCCTTTCAATTAAGTTTTTCACTCTCCACTGATCAATAACATCAACTTCATTCTACATAACTAGAAAGAAAAAATTAGACATGTCTCCACAAACATAAATAAGATTAGTTGTTTAGAATATTAAATATGCCGAGAAAATTAATCATATGGGTGTGCGCGGGTACCGATGGGCCAAGTTTATCTAAACCCAAATCCAACCCAATCCGATGAATAGTGAACGAATTTAAACGCAAATCCGGCCCAAAATCCATCAACACTAATTTTACCCGCGTTGACCGAATTGGGTCGGGTGAGTACCCTTGGGTTCGAATTATTGTTGCCATCCCGGGGGCCGAGCCAATCTAAGAAATCAAAAAATGTAAACAATATGACATAGGAATTAGGAAACGACACCGTTGAAGGGGCGAGCCGAGAGCCCATTCTTCCCTTAGGTCATGACTCATGATCCAATCCATTCATATCACTCACTCCTTGCTGGGTCGGCCACAGTACTCTGTCAGCTCATTTCACTCTTAGATTCAATCCATCTATCGCTCCTCACTCTCGTCCAGACTCCAGTCCCTCTCTTCTTCTTCTTCTTCATCGACCTTTCAATCCAAAACCCACGCTTCCATCTTCCAAACACTCGGAAATCCCCATACACCTTCTTCGTCCTCCGAAACCGCTGTTTCCCGGTTTCTTCTCCGACCACGGCCTGAAGAAATTGCTCCATGTCAGCAGGCGACCACCATCCACAAGAGCTCGAAGCTTCACCGCGGCCAAATGGCCAATGCTTTTATCCAATTCTCTGCTCGAGTCCCCTGTTCTCTTGGCTGGCAGGGTTTGCGTCTTCTATGCGCTCTTGAAGATCGGTTTAGCTGGATCCAAGGCTAACCCACTTGTCTCAAGTACAAATTCAATCGAGGGTTTCGTTTCTTTTCAGTTTTCTTGCTTTGGTTTATCTTTGTTTGGCACATAGATCAATGTGCTACGGCTTGATTTGTAAAGAGTTGGATGGTGTGGATGAAAGCGGCGGCAGCAGCGGAGCTGGTGATTTGGGGTTCTCTAAGTGGATTGAGTCAATTCAAGGCAACCCAGGTTAGTTGGGTTTTCCTTTTTAATTTTTCTCTTCATATGGTTGGAAGGTGAGAGAGCTGGAACTTCATTTGTGGAGTTATCAAAGTAAAGGTTGCACATTTGAAGATCCTGTATGGGGTTCCCTTAGTGTAACAGTGTGTATACTATAGAAAAATCAATTCGTTGTTGATTCTCAGTTAATGCCAATTTTGTTTGCAAAGCATTTAACTTTTTGGGGCAACAAGTTGAACCAAAAGACTGCTATGCAGAGGAAAGGCAAGCCCTTGTCAAGTTTTCAATGATTATGCTTACTAGTTACTTCCTTGCACAATTTGAGATTTTTATGACCGTAATCACGTTGCATCCCTCGACTCAAGCCCTTCTCCCTTCGGTCAAACATAGGGCTAATATATTCTCCCCCACTGATCTCAGCCCGGGTCCTTGTACGCTGAAGCTGTCAAGTCCGTACGAGGATACCGTTTCAGGAGGGCGATTTCCTTTTTCAATTCCAGAAGTATCGGAGCCTATGTAAAAGAAGCTGTAGAAGAGCACCACCACGGTTCAGGTCCCGACACATGGGGGATTAATTCAGCTGCAAGGATTGTGATCAATACTATTTCAGTAGCTTAGATGAGTGTGTTAATTAACGGTATCTTATGAAGTGATGTACTTTATGGGTTTATGAGTCGGAGGTCAAATTGCTGTGTGTAATTATACCCCTGTTGAGTGCAGGTTTCTAGTGTATTATTCTCTTTGACAGATTGTTCTACCAGTGTATTTACTTTTATGGTAGTTGTTTTGGGATGACAAGCACCAGTGTATTTATATTGTGGACCATTGGTTTGGTGTTCTTGAGCAGATAAAGAAGCATCTAACAAATAGAAATTAGTGAGCAAATGGCATCCCACCACCAAAGGCACACTCAGGAGGAACTACAGGGTGCCTTCAAAATCTGAAGGAAGACGCCTCCGCAAAGCAGTTGCAAGTCTATTATCCAAGGTCACGGACGCCACTTCCCACAAGGTAAGACAACGACCACAACCCCAAGAATTCATATGTGCCTAATGTTATTCAGCTTTAGATTTACTGTTCTTCTTTGAACTTCACAGGGATGTCAGATTAGGAGGGAGAGTGGACATGGTGAGAGTGTGCGCTGTAGCGACGTAAGGGCTCTCTTCGACGAACTGCCGACCCCTCACCTGATTGTGGAGATCACACTTTTCCCTGTTGGGTCTTTGACTGAGAAGGATTGCCTCAAGGCTGAGAAGCTTGAAAGGGTGCTCAGGTCTGGGCCTTCTGTCTGAAAAGCACTACAATTTTTTGAATATAACCCAACCGTATCATCGTACATACGAAATCCCCTTTTCATCTACTTTACCATGCTGAACATTTCTAATGATAACTTGACTTTACACTAGAAATGTCTGTTAGTTAAGCAGCCGGATGATGTGAACTCCTCTGATACTCTTAAACATAGAGGTGGCAAATGGATTGGATCCAGTGGCGGACCCAGAAATTTTTCATAGGGGTGTCCTCTTTTAAAAAATAAATTAAATAAAAATAAAAATAATTAATAAAAATAAAATTGTAAATATGAAAATACCTTACTCGTATAGGTTAAAAAATTCCATGACATGTTTTCGTATTCGAAAATAATTGTAGAATACACTTGGTGTCTATAGTGTTAAATTTTTTTTCTCTATATACACTACTAGACAATCATTCACGAACTTATCGCATATTCGATTTGTAAACTTGTTCTTGATGTAACCCAAAACTGAAAGACTCTTTCAACACTTGCCATACAATCATAAAATCAATACAAATTAATGGTAGTTTGAAATTAGTTTAATTGTTAGGTTTTTAAAATAATTAGAGATAGGGAATGCCATTTTACTCACATTGTTCAAAATCGAACAACAAATGAGTTTAGCTCAACGGAAATTAAGTTTATTAATAATAATAGTGTTCTAAATTTGAATTATACAACCTACCACTTATATTCCTACACACAAATGACACAAGGATAATCATTTTTTCAAATTTAAGGGGTGTCCCTCACTATCAATTATATTTTTTTATCCATACGTAAATTACTATCGGAGGTTGGATAATCGTTTTCCCAAAATTTAGGGGTGTCCGGGGACACCCCTAAACCCTCCTGGGTCCGCCCCTGATTGGATCCATGGCTTGGTGGATTGGATTGGGGGATCCATGGATCAAATATATTGGATCCAATGGATTGGATCAAGTGGATTGGTGGATTATCCATGAATCCAAATGACATCCTCAACTAAGGACCAATGTGTAAAATGTGAAAAATTTAGGTACTAAAATGTCGTAATGAAAAATTTTAGGTACCAAAATGTAATTTTCTAATGATATTTTTTTGTATAAAAAATTAAATTCCACCAATCCAATTGGATTTGGATAAAATGGATTGGATTTAAATGGATTGGATTAGGTGGATATTTTTAATGGATTGGTGGATTGGATTGAGAATTGTCACCTCTACTCGAACACCTTTTCTATGAAATATTTCAATCCGATTCCCTGTCTTTATCATTCTCACCCGGCCGTAATCGATACCCTAAGCAAAAATGAGCCAAGCCGATGAGCGTTGCTAACTACTCCCACTGATCCATCCTTTCCTTGTTGGAGTTGGCCGCCCTTTTAACAATGGCAGGACTGAGTGATACAGTGCTTATTATAGATTGTAAAAGGCGTTTTAACTCGGTTGCCTTGCCAGCCATACGCATGGCACGCCCTAGCGGCCTGCGGGGGTCTCTCGGGTGCCTTCCGTGACGAAGGGATTGACTAGCTGCTACTGATCCTGGCCTAGCAAGCAACAAGAAAGAGGAGACTTAATTTCGAAATCGTTCCCAAAAAGACGCATGTAACAGATAATCTAATTTTGCCATCCTGAAAAAGTGAAGTGGTGAAAACTATTTTAAGACTTTTAAGCTGATACAAGTCTATAACACAAGCTTCCTCCTTCTAGAGAAGCCAAATACCCCCAGACAGTTCTAAAACAACGCATTTATTTGCCCCGTTGGACAAGCCGCGTCAAACCTTTTTCCTGCCACCTAGACGCGATGTACCTTTTTCTTGCCAGCTAGGCAGACGCGTCTGCAACATGCATGCACTTTTGCAGACTGAATACTGCCGATGGACTTCCTATGTTCTTATTGACATGGTCAGATGGTCAAAAGATGCTTAGTAGTTAGTAGTTGTACTCATTACATAATTACCGATAGCACAATCCACAGTTGCCGATGTCGGCCCGCTGGCAATGGAAATTTAGTTGGGCCGACTCATTAAGTCCAGATTGGGGCCTCCAATTAGCCAACTAACCAATTCTTTTGACAATTTTTTTTAGTGGTTACATAAATAAAGCTATCCTCATTTTCTTAGATCACACAAGTACTAAAATCTTATCTGAATGGGATAAATGCTGGTCATTATAATTACTAAAACGTGTCATGTTTAGTTATTGGGAAAAAAATAATATCAATGCCGGTCACTCGAATTAGTAAAACGATCAACGTTTAGTCACTTACCGCTAGTCTCCGTTAACACCGTCAGCCAATCCAGAAAAGGAAGGGCAGATCAGAAGAACCTACCACAACAGGGTAGGGGTGGGCATACGGTTCGGTAAAATCGAGCCGAACCTAACCGAACTGTATATAAACCGAACCGAAATCGAATTAATGTTATTCGGTTAGAAATTCGGAAGAGAAAAGGACATGTTTCAGAAACCAGGGTCCTTTCGACCGAACCGAATTTCCGAATTTCGAACCGAAAAACCGAATTATTATAATTGCAAGCTCTAAATGGTGGATTAATGGATTTTATGTTTCTACTTATTATGAGACTTAAATATTTGAATCATGTTAGCGTTTTATGACTTATGTGTTGAAATTTTTGATTTTATCATTGATGATGGATATTTATTGTTTACATTAGGGATGAAAAATAATTTAAAAAAGAGAAGATACAAGCTAACCTCACAAGTTCGGTTTTGTATGAAAAACCAAACCGAATTACAATTCGGTTTGAACCGACCGAACCGAATTATAATTCGGTTCAAATTCGGTTTGAGGTTTGATAGAATTCGGGGACCCGGTATGCATAATTTCGGTTCGGTTTGAACCGAACCGACCGAATGCCCATCTCTACAACAGGGACTGTCACCAAAGAGGCTCAAGATTCGAGAGAGGTTGCTCGAGGTCGATGGAGACATTTCGTAGCAAGGACGCGACGAGGGCATCGCGAGAATAGGTGGGAGAGGATGTCACGGGTGGCGGGCGACATGGCGAGTGATGTGGCGGATCATGACCAAGTCAAGCACGTATGGCATTAAGGAAGACCTAGTGGCATAGGATGCTCCTAGGATACCCCATCTTGAAGACGAGCTTAATGGTGCACATAAAGAACCACATTATGAGGTGGTATAAAGGTGTGCATTATGGGGAAAACATAATAGGGTGTGTTAATGGGGGAGAGCATTATGAGAGGTATTTACACCTTATAAGAGAAGAGGGCCTATAAAAGGAGCACCTCCTCCTCATTTGTAATCATCCATCATTTTTGTGAGCAATACAACTATAGAGTTTCTCCCATCTTCTTGTGTCTTCTTCTTGTGAGTTAAGTGAGTTTGAGAGCTTGTAATAAGGTTGCCTAGCATCTCTGACAAAATTGAGAGTTAGGGCCGCACGACCAAGAATAAGACCGTGACAGTTGGTATCAGAGCCTGGTTCTGTAAAGAAGAACCGGTATCCTCACTCCCCAAGAAGGAAGAGGAGAAAGAGCGAGAGCCTCACAAAAAATGTTGGGATCAGAAGTTCATGATGATGCTAAGAAGGAGAAGCAACGTGGAAGAGATTCCACAAAGCACTCCAGGCCAAAGAACGCGTTCAACACTCGTGATCCTATGGCATCTCTAGAGAAGCGTGTCTCTAGTGTAGAGATGAAAATGGCTGAAGATGTCAACGTCATGGAGGATTTGGGAGCTAACTTCACCCAAATTCAAGCCGATGTTCAAGGTGTGGCGGCTAGAGTGACAAGTTTGGACTTTGGAGGTTGGAAATGAAGGGCTTCGAGAAGAGCTCATGGCCCTCATCAAAGACACCATCTCCACCGCCATGAACGATGTCATTGAGGTAGTGAAGGAGGCGGTTGTTGCTGAGATGACCGCCTTGAAGGAGGAGGTTGCAGAGCTCATAAGCGAGGTGACACTTGTGAAGAGGGCCATGGATAACAGACATGCCGCGGCGCAGCCTACCTCAACCATGGAGATTCCAAGACCAAAGAGCTTTCAAGGGTCGATGAATGCAAGGGAGTTAGAGAACTTCCTATGGAGCTTGGAGCAATACTTTGAAGCTTCGGGTATTCGAGATGAGAATACCAAGGTAAAAACTACACCTCTTTACTTGAGTGATGTTGCTATGTTGTGGTGGAGAAGGACCCAAGGCGATATTAATAAAGGGACATGCGTGATGGAGTCATGGGATGACTTCAAGAGGGAGATCAAGAGGCATTCTACCCGGAGAATGTTAAGTTTAAAGGCATTCTACCCGGAGAATGTTAAGTTTAAAGCCCGGTCGAGACTAAGGAGGTTTGCTCACGAAGGAGAGATTCAAGGGTATGTGAAGGAGTTTTCTGAATTGTTGCTCGAGATCCCCGACTACACCGACAAGGAGGCCATGTCACCTTCCTTGACGGCCTCCAACCATGGGCGAAGTTGGAGCTACAACGACGAGGCCGAGGCGTGCAAGATCTTGCCGAGGCAATGGCGATTGTCGAGTCCTTAGTAGAGTACCACCAGCCGGAGGAACGTGTGGAGTTCAGAGGTAATGGAAGTGGACGCGACTATGACAGAGACGCACGAAGGCGTGGTAGACTGGACCAAGGAGGTAGTCATAAGGTTGAGAAACCACTTACTTGCTTCCTTTGTGATGGTCCGCATCGTCTGAGAGATTGCCCAAAAAAGCACAAGCTGTCGGCGATGAAGGTCGCACTAGCAGAGTGCTCAAGCTCGGAAGAGGAAGCAGAGGCGACTCAAAGAGTGGAGCCCCATGTCACAAAGATGGGTTGCATGAGATTGAGTGCCATCAAGCGGACGGAAGAGCCTTCCCATCCCGAGCAACATGGCCAATGCTTCATAGAGGCGAAGCTCAACCAAAGGAAGACAAAAGCCTTGGTTGATACTGGGGCAAGCTGCAACCTTCTCGACATAGATGATGCGCAGAGTCTAGGCATCACATACGAGAAGAAGCAAAGAGGGTGGATGAAGGCTACCAACTCAAGGGCCACAAGAACTCACGGAGTAGCGCGCCAGGTGCCACTCAAGCTTGGAGGATGGACCAGGGTGGCGGACTTTGAGGTTGTGTCGTTGGCTGACTATCAGGTCATCATTGGCATGGAGTTCATGGTGCGGGAGAAATCTTTCCCGATCCCCTACGCAAACAGATTTTGGATTGGAGGCAGAGCGAGATCGGTTCCCATGACAAACCAGGGGTGTTTGGCAAGACGTGGATTAACGAAAGACAAGGAGGATCCATCCTCGACTTGCTAGGAGAAGCAAGGAAAGGCCACCATGATCGAGAATGCAGGACACTCCAAGACGCGACGGAGAAGACCGTGGAGGAGGGCACAACTTCATGGGAGCACAAGGCTCAAGAGCGAGCCAAGGCCAGCCTTGGTTTGGAGGAAGGCCCAACGAGACCTTGCAAGCAATGAAGCTAAGGTAAAGGAGGCGTCTGCCAAAGAGCCACGACGAGGGCGTCGTGGATTGAGTGGAGGAGAATGTTACCAACGAGGCTCAAGAGTCAAGAGAGACTGCTCGAGGTCGATGGAGGCATTTCATAGCAAGGACGCGACGAGGGCGTCGCGCGAATAGGTGGGTGAGGATGTCACGCGTGGCAGGCGACATGGCGAGTGATGTGGCGGATCATGACCAAGTCAAGCACGTGTGGCATTAAGGAAGACCTAGTAGCATAGGATGCTCCTAGGATTCCCCATCTTGAAGATGAACTTAATGGTGCACATAAAGAGTCGCATTATGAGGTGGTATAATGGTGTGCATTATGGAGGAAACTTAATAGGGTGTGTTAATGGGGGAGAGCATTATGAGAGATATTTACACCTTGTAAGAGAAGAGGGCCTATAAAGGAGCACCTCCTCCTCATTTGTAATCATCCATCATTTTTGTGAGCAATACAACTATAGAGTTTCTCTCATCTTCTTGTGTCTTCTTCTTGTGAGTTAAGTGAGTTTGAGAGCTTGTGAGAAGGCTGCCTAGCATCTCTAACAGAATTGAGAGTTAGGGCCGCACGACCATGTGGTACTTTGCTCTTGTTGACGACTCTAACACGATTTTCGGCCAGAATTAGGACGCAATCAAATGGGTTATTCTTCTGTGTTTTCCGGTCATTCGTTTCTTTTGATTGAGTTATGACAAATATAAGTGTCTAGTGGTGGTGACGATGAAGTGGGGAAGGAGATTCGGCCGGTGGAGATTTTGCAATCCTAGTGACTATTCAGCCAGATTAGACAATATTTCCCCTGGGTTCGATTAAGAGCTTTGATGGTTATGGGTGTCTTTCGTGTTTTTGGACATCGAGTTCTTAAGTGTGTTTAGTGGTGGTGATGACAAAGTGGGGAGAGGAGATGTTAGTGAGGCGTGGAAGAAAGAGGTCAAATGAGATAAGAGGGCAAACTAGGGTCAAAATTCAGTGGTCACTTCTAGGGGTGGGCAATGGGTTGGTCCATACCGGACCACATCAGACTGATTGATGTTTGGACCGGATCGCACCGAATCGAATATAATACGGTTCGATCCTTGGTCCAACAAATTTTATAAATATGGAAGGAAAATGGACTGAATTGATATTTGGATCGGACCAAAGAGGACTAAATCAGACCGAATGCACCATTGGTTCGGTCTTTGGTTCTAAAATATCTTTCACTATTGGATCGCGGTTCTCCTGAGTTTGGTCTGATCCGGTCTGGACAGACCAGACCGATGCCCACCCCTAGTCACATCCTCCATTGATCAGTGACGACAACGACTCGGTTCATGATAATGAGATGGCGGTGTGGTTGTGGTTGGGAGAGAGGCGAGAGGAGATGGAAGAGGAAGGCAGAGAAGAAATGAGGGCGTCATGGGAAAATGGAAGGAGAGAGAAGGCAGGGAGATGGTGGTAGAGTATAGGGTCGGGTCACAGGTTGAGTTAGGAAAACTGACGTGGTAGGTTTTGATGATGTGATAGAATTTAATTTTTCCAGGTTAAAATAAGATTATTAAGTGTTTTTGTTAGGCAAGTAAGCAAAAAAAAAATACATCGTTAACGGAGACTAACAAAAGATAATGTAGACTGATCAATTTTTTTTATGAGAAGACTGATCAAATTTAAAATAGTTAACTAATTTCCGTAAACACGAATGAAATATTAATATTTTTCGTGCCTAAATGTGAAACTTTTTAATAATGAGTATTCGTAATGACCACCACTATACTCACAATAATCCACTTCATTTAATCTGCTTTTTCTGAGTTGCATATTTGCCTTATCTCAATCTCAGTCATATAAATACACCCTCCACCTTCACTTTTCTCCTCCACCCCCGAACCTCTGTTTTTTCTTAACAAAAAGAAGGGGAAAAAAAACTATTTCTCCCAGTCAGTAACTTTACCAAATGAGAAACATGGATTCATCGCGGCTGTGGCGGATGGTGCTTCTGTTGGCGGCGGCGCTGCTGGCCGGAGTGGTGGAGTCGGACCTGCAGCAGGACAAAACAGAGTGCGCGTCCCAGCTGGTGGGACTGGCGCCGTGCCTGCCATACGTCGGCGGGGAGTCCAAAGCTCCGACGCTTGACTGCTGCTCGGGACTGAAGCAGGTGATAGAGAAGAGCAGGAAGTGCCTGTGCTTGCTGATTAAGGACCGCGACGAGCCCAACTTGGGCGTCAAGATCAATGTCTCCCTCGCCGTTGGCCTCCCAGATTCCTGCAAATCTCCCGCCAACATCTCTGATTGCGTCAGTAAGTGAGAAAATTTCCCCTGGAAATCGATTTGCTTAGTGAGTAATTAATTTGGTTACGGTCCAATTAAATGCAGGTCTGCTTCACCTGAAGCCTAATTCGACGGAGGCGAAGAAGTTTGACGGACTGGATGAAATCATTGGTAAAGGAATCAACGGCAGCAGTACTACTACTGACGGCGGCGGCCCTTCTGCAGCGGCTGGTACGTACCTTTTAATTGTTTTTTGTTTTGTTTTGTTTTTTTTTTTTTTTTACCATAAAAATGGCTTCTTGAGTCTTGCTAGCTAGCATGCTGAATAATATATGGTGTTGGTTCGGCATCGGTAGTGTAGTGTAGTGTCATAAGTCATAACTAAAGCACCAAATTCTTTGGTGTTTTATTTTTTTGGTTATTAACTAACTACTGACGCAAAATACACGGTGGTCGTCGGGCAGCTTCGGCGGCCAGCGGGGGCAGAGCAACTGTCGGCGGCGGTGGAAGTAATGAGAACCAAAAGAGCAATGATGGGGGAGATGAGGCAAAGAAAAAGAAGCGAGGGTGGGCAGTTGTCACGGCGGTGGGTGTATTATGGGGATTAATCACGGGTTTCTCCTTCTCCTTCTCCTGAGCTACCAACCTAACCATGACAGGGAGGGAAGAAGAAGATGACCCAAAATGTTGCAGAGAGAAAGGATATTGCTCGTTGTTATTGTTTGCTGTTGTAAAAATGTACAATACAATTGTATTGTGTGTTGTTGGATAATTGGTTTGGCGCTAGCTGTGTCCATTAAATTATGAGAGTGGGCAACTTCCCAACGGTAATATTGGTGGCAGATGATGGGTGAGAACTGGGAAGCCAGAGCTGGTGTGTTATAAATGCGCAGCCACAAGCCCCCTCTTTAATACACATTAGTTTATATTTCGGTATTGTTCGGTATTTCGGTATATACCGATCCCAATTCCGTAATCACTAATACCGAATAACAATTGAAATTGAATCTCAATCTCAATCCCAAAAAATAATACGTGTATTCGGTAATACCAAATATAGAAAAATTCGATACGGTATTCGGTATTATCCCAAATACCGGTACCAAACTTTCAGGCCTATATACACGGGCCGCTATAAGCCACCCAGTCCCATCAACAAAAGCGGACCCAATCGCTCCATAAATCATCGGCCGCTTAGTAGTCCCATTATTATTAACCACCTTCACCTCCCACAAATATAGGCGTAAGCCATTTTTTAGAAGAAAAAGAAAGTTCCCTAAATTGCAGGGCCCAATAATCTGGAATGGTCCAAAAAGTCTAAGCCCAAAAGGTACTCGGCAAAACTTGCGAAAGGCCCAAAAATCCGCGGCCGATAATGATACAATCATTAACGATACTACGGTCTACGAATCTACGATATAGTTCAAACGTGCCCTCTGTAAAAACTAAAGGCAAAATACAGTTGTATATCCACAACTATCAGGGTTGTGACAAATATATCCACAACTATCGAAATACACGAAATATCCATTTCCGTCCACTCCGTTAACTCCGTCAGTTAACTTGATGACTAGACAGACAGTTGATGCTTAGTTGGCGTGTTTCTGACCCCACTAAATGACGTGGACTAAAAGAGAGAAAAAAAATTAGGCAAAATGCAGTTGTATATCCACAACTATCAGATTTGTGACAAATATATCCACAACTATCGAAATACACAAAATATTCAAAAATCGGAAGGTTGTGTGACAAATCTATCCACTTTCGTCTGAAACTATAACAGCGTGTCAGACTGCGTTAAATTGACTAACGGAATGCTGAATCGATGCCATCTCACCTGCCACAAAAGCCAAAAAACAACCAAACTTTACACCGTTATCTGTTAGACCTCACTGCTGCAGTCTTCTCTATTGACGATTTGGTTAGATTCAAGCTTTTTTTGTTTGAGATTCAAGCTTGGTATCACCATGGCGCCAACTACATGGAAGCCATCGGAGTAAAAGGGAGGCAATGGTTGGGAATTGTGGTTGGAATCGAAATATGGGCTTGGGGTAGGGTTATTTGGCAGTGGAGGCGTCGATCAGAGGAGGATCAATGGTTATCAGACGTGTTTCTGGGTTGGATTTTTAGTCTCGCCGTCTGTGGTTTTTAGGGTTTTTAATTTTTTTTCTCTTTTAATCCACATCATTCAGTGAGGTCAGAAACACGCCAAATAAGCATCCACCGTATGTCCAGTCATCAAGTTAACTGACGGAGTTAACGAAGTGAACGAAAATGGATATTTCGTGTATTTCGATAGTTGTGGATATATTTGTCATAAACCTGATAGTGGTGGATATATTTGTCACAAACCTCATAGTTGTGGATAATATTTTGCCTTTATTCAACTAGCCTATTTGGCATCTACGTGTAAAGTTTGGTTGCTTTTTGGCTTATGTGGCAGGTGAGATGACATCGACTCAACATTCCGTTAGTCAATTTAACGCCGTCTGACACGCCGTTATAGTTTCAGATGGAAGTGGATAGATTTGTCACACAATCTTTCGATTTTTGGATATTTCGTGTATTTCTATAGTTGTGGATATATTTGTCACAAACCTGATAGTCTACAAATACCTATAAGACAATGTTAATAAATTGCTTTTGCCACCTCAGCCTTTGCAATTCAGACCGCAAACTGCGGAGGGTCATATTTGTAAATTTACTCTTTGGCTCTAGCGGAAACTGCCACTTAGTTTTCTTTTCTTTTTTCTTTATTATTGTCAAATTTACAACCCCATTAACCCACCAACTCTTAACTCATTTTTTCCGCCTTTTTAAGCCCACAAACCCTAGGCGAGTCTCTTTTTTGTTTGTTTGTTATGAAACCCTAGGCAAGTCATTAAAACTCAAAACATAATTTATTTGGGCTATTGATTTATTAAATTATATCATATTAGTTATTTCATCATCCGATTCAGTTTAAGATATAGATAATAATTTTGACTTGAGCTGTCTTATGCGACCTGCTTGATCTATTTTGGCCTTTTGGGTTAGAGCGAGAATGAGTAATCTACTCGATCTAACATGTATTATTTGCAACCTATTTTTATCTAAATTATATGTATTTTTTCTCAAAATATATAGAATTTTACTTTTATTATTTCAAATTTTAGCTATAAAAAATCGATGAATATGTAAGAATATTAATTTCTCCAATAGTTTAACTACATTTATCGGGCTATAGTTTGTTTCTTGATTTTTCAATGTAAAATCAATATTTTTAATGTTTTCTCTTTAAAATTTAAATATATACTCATACGAGTCAACCTGCCCCACCCACACCCATAATAAATTACCCGATCTGTTACAAGGCGAGTATGGATATTGAAATAACCGCCCCGACCTGGCCATCGTCATTCCATAACACCAAATATCTTTCTTTAATTTTTTTAAGATGAAATCTAAATTATAGATTTCATATTTAGTTTCACCTTTTTCAAGTTTCACTAAATTTTCAAATTGTAATATTTTTTTATATCTAAATAAAATATCAGTACATTTATATCATCATAATCACATAAGATTAAGTAAACGTTATTACACATAAAAGACAATTACCAGCCAATCCAGTCCACAAACTTATGGAAGTAGATGAAGGTCATGGAAGTAAATTTTTTGGTCAATTGGCTTTGGCAAGTGAATTTTAAGATATTTGTCGGATTACAATTTTTTGTATCTTTTTTTTGTTAACTTTTTTTTTTGTATCTTTCTAGATTGGACTAATCAAATAATTCATCATTTTTCTATTTCCGATTATAATTCAATTAGCAGAATGAATTACCATGCGAAAGATACCTAATTTCGAAATAAAATAATTTGAGATGTAGAATATCAATAGTATATAATTTATTGCTCAAAATAATCAATAGTTCTTTTACTTGACTCACATATTAATAAATTATAAATACAAAAGTTGAAGGTCTAAAATTATCACAAAACAAATGCTTTTGATTACATGATGATTGGGCAAACCCGGCCATTAGGCCGGGCCCAATGCTAGTTGTGGATATACAGCTGTATTTTGCCAAAACTAAAAGTAAAAGAAGAAAAATATTTTTAGCAAATAATTCTGGCTCGACAACACCGCTAAGCTACATTATCAAAAAAAAAAAAAAAAACAACACCGCTAAGCTACCGAGTACCGACCAAGACGAGGAAAAACCATAGCTGCCTCTAGAATTAGAAAGAAGGAAAACTCCGTCACCGGCCCACCAACACTCTCTCCTCCCCGCACAAATCTCTTCACTCTCCCCCCTCGCGTTTCTGCGTCAACAAAAGCTCCCAGCTTCCGCCAACAATGGCGCCTTCAATCCCCTGTTTTGACCTGGGTCGCGCCATTCTCTCTCTGTTGGTCCTCACCCTTTCTATTTCAACAATCCAAGCCCTCTCCAGCGACGACCGAGGAGCTCCTCTTCCTTCTGTCTACGAAGTCCTCCCCAAGTACGGTCTCCCTAGCGGGCTTTTGCCCGATTCGGTGGTCTCCTACACGCTCGACGACGATGGCAACTTCGCGGTGTCTTTGGCGAAGCCCTGTTACATACAGTTCGATTACTTGGTCTATTACGCGGAGAAGATTACTGGGAAACTGAGCTACGGGTCGATCACGAATTTGGAAGGGATTCAGGTCCAGAAGTTCTTTCTCTGGCTCGATGTTGACGAGATTAAGGTCGATTTGCCGCCTGCCGATTCGATTTACTTCCATGTTGGCTTCATCAACAAGAAGCTTGACGTTGACCAGTTTGAGACTGTGCATTCTTGCCGTGATGGGGTCTCCGGTGCGTCCTGTAAACGGTTCTGGGAGCGGGTGATTGAGGTATTAGAGTTGTGATTTTGCTCTTCTGATTAAAAATTGCTTATTTCGACTGGGGTGTGCTCTGAATCAGTTGTGTATCATTAGATTACGAATCTTTCGCTCTTGACAATTGGTCGTATGCGATGAAAGATAAATTCTCATTCTATTTGGCTTGAAGTGTTGAGATGTTTAAGGAGAATGCGGCATTACTTTGTCTATGTGAATGTGACCCTCTTAGAAGGGGTATTGGCTTCATTAGCTCCACATTGATAAGCGATTTCAAAGCTATGTGATGCAATTAGTCCCTCACGTGTCTTCAACCCTCTATTGTTTATGTGGGGTTTGGGGAATTGGTGACTGGGTATCGAGCTCACGCGTCATAGGCCAAGAGTATTTACTTCCCGGTCATACTTCTTCGCATCATTCAAGTTCAAGATTAGTGTTGAAATGTGGATCTTCTGAACGGATCCTCATCTGGGTGGGTAGCATCTTAAATCACCGAACCTTATCTGAAAATGCCAATACAATGTATGCCCTCAGATGATCTTTTGGGCCTCCTGAAATGCTTTTGGTTCTGCAATTCACTCAGCAGTAGCTTGGGTTTGTGTTCCTTGAACCAGCATTCCGATTTAACATTATTGTGTTTGCTTGTTTGTGCACGCTCTATGATGTAGTTATGGTTGATTAGCTCCCTTTAGATGACAGGCATTTTGTGATTCCTTCCATTCTTGTCTCTTGAAAACCCATCCTAATCTGACACTTCCTGATCATCATCTTGCAGCTTCCAGCACCAGTGGTGAATGAGACTCCATTGCTTATTACGGAGTAGCACCTGCAGCAGGCAGCATTCCCTTGTGAAGGAAGAAGTGGAGCAAGGGGGTGAGTTAGTCGTGAACGAATAAAGACTTTTGTAGGTGTCTAGTGGTCATCTAAAAGGCCAATACTTCAAGGAGTCGGCGAAATGGTATGTGTACATATTACTGTAGCACTATGGAGACTCTACTACGTTGATTTTCCTGCTGAAAGAAAGAGAGAGAAGATGTTGTTATCTACTTGCAAGAGGCCCTTGTTTCTAATCAAGAACCTTACTTTTGATGCCCCCTTGATTCAACTCCAAGCAACAGCAGCAGTAGCAGATTTTTTTAGCCCTAAATTTACCTAAATATCTTGGGTCTTGCACTTTTGTACCTGAACTTAATGAATGATGCAAACTAGTCCACATCCCACTTGCCACCATAGTAATTAGTTAAATTGTTTAAACAGGATTGCTCTCTTAATCCCACTTGGCAGACGTGTGGGACTCAAAAAGGAAACTCTCCATCAGTCATCATCTTCTTCTCTTGCGGGCCCATGATGCAATTCCTTTGCAGAATGAGAAATTTTGTGTGTATACTACTAACTAACCCATGCTCAGGCGCTAACAGCAAACTGCCCCTTACTCGAATGTGTATTGTGACTTTAGGCCACTGCAAGTCCCACAACGCTCTTCAGCCCATCCCAGAGGACCCTGCTCTCGTCATTTGCCAAGTGGCGGATTATGAAGTCGCTAGTGATAACCTCTATAGTCAGGTTTGTGACAGCAGGACTGACACTTATTTTTGTTCCTGCCCGATCGAGGCAACAAACACACTCCTAGATATCATCTCTTCGGACTGCAGCATTTGGTCAAGGCACTCAAAGAACCTAATCAAAGATGGTCATGGTGATGTTATGCTGTCCTTTAATCCTTGACATAGAATTCTGGTTCTTCCAGCTGGACCAGAGTGTCACTCCTTTCTGTAATTGTTTTGCATTCTCGACAGAGTTAGAATAAGAGAATCGGTCATATCAGGGGAAGAAAAAAACAACCATGGGTGGGCGCCTCCCTGAGAATCTGAAGCTTAGAGTCCATTGATGGACCACCATATAGCCCATGGATCCTCAACCGTCAAAGTCTTCTGGTATTCTTCATTTTGTCAGCTATAGATCTATGATGTGCAGATTTAGAAGTTTAGTGATTGATTTATTACTTTGCAATGCTTAAGGTAGTTGTCTATTTATAATTTTCCGTTTGTCTTTTTTCAAACACAATAAGTAGTAGCCGGCATGGGCGGCCGAGAGTAACATCAACTATGTGTGAATGATCCGTTGAATGAATGAACCGATGCCTTTGTCCTTAACAATAGTTTCTTGTTTGTTTGACCTGTTAGCTGGTTGGAGTTCCTCTATTCAGACATCACGGGATCATTCTATTGTCTTCCACCAGCCGAGTCCTCCCCTTTCTCTTCTTTCCCCGCCTCCAATGTACAATAGGAGGTGATCATCGGAAACCTGCCTGCTGATTGTGTTCTGGGAAGAAAACTATCAGACCTCTCACAGAAAACTGATCTGGTGAGAGGTACTTGATGTCATCCTGTTCCCAACTCGTTTGAAGCTGTAGTTCCTTGGTAAATTATATATTCTGTTTCCTCTGTATAGGATGAACTAGCTAGACAATATTTTGATTATATGATCATTGATCAATCCCTTATGTTTGTTTCAGGATCAGCTTCAGGCCCGCGATGCTCAGTTACTGATCGAACAGCGATTTATTTCCTTAATGAAGAAATCATAGAACTCTTAGGAAGGTAACTTTCTCCAGCATTTCCTTGATACTTTTACATAATTTCTTGGTTGATGGGACTGGCTTGTAACGTTTTCCATATTGCTTTGTTTCCTTTTGCTGCTTGATTGCCCCTTTTCAATCTGTTCTCGTAGTGTCCTCACACATTCTAGTGGGAAGGAGGGGGGGAAAAGAATGGCATCGTCTTTGGCCGAGTTGCTTCAAGAGGATGGCTTCAAAGGAAGAAGATCAGGGATGAAGGCAAGAGCCTCTTTCAAAGCAGAAGCTGCTGCAAGTAGCAGGATGCATGGAGAGCGACAGAGCATGGATTATGTACCTTCTAGGTCTAGAATTAGAACAGAAAGGGCAAGCTCTGATGTAAATCGTTACAATTCAAGAGGCGGCCAATCTTCAGGAAGTAGTGATGCTGGTACAAGCACTAGAAAGCCCCACGGTGGGGATTATGTTGCTAGTAGATTCAAAAATGATGAAGAAGAAGGTAACTGGGACAGAATCCACAGACGTTCTAGCAAGCCAACGTATCAAGAAATAGTTGAGGTTGGTAAGGAAGAAGATGATGATGGCAGAATTAAGAACATATATTCCGATATGGTAAAATATGCAGCCCGTAGTAGTAGCCATGGTAGTGGGAATAGCTCATATAATCATGGTATAAGAGCTCGAAAGGATAGCGAAGCTGATAGGAGGAGGAGGCCTGATGAGAATGCCGCTCTTGAAGTTGCTGGTTTTGCACTCGATGAAGTTGCGATCCAAGCCATGGTCTCTATCTTGAATGGATACATTAGACGTTTCTTCAAAGATGTCGAGTTCCGGAACATGGTACGTTACAATTGTTTCTCCTCGTTCAATTTCAACGAGATCGAAGAGATTGACAGCATCGAGAGGAAAGTCATTTCCAGTTTCGATGAATCCGTTTATACAGTGGAGAAAGCAGCAGCTAAGGAGGAGGAGGAGGAGGATTTCGCGAGTGCGAAGGATCTGAAGAAGTCCGCGTTGCAGCTCAGTGTCATCACAGGCTTGAATTCAAACGAGCTAAAAGATGGTTACACATTCGGAGTTCCAAACTCGAGATTGTCTGCCTGTGCACATTTCTACCTCAGTGCTGTGTACAAGCTGCAGAAGAAGGACAGAGTTTCAGCCAAACATCTTCTCCAAGTGTTCTGCGATTCGCCATTTTGGGCACGGACAGTTTTGTTGCATGACCTGTGGGACTATCTATTGTTTCCCCATCTTTCGCATTTGAAGTTGTGGTATAATCATGAGGCAGAGTCTCTACCGAGCACACCAAGCAAGATACGAAAAGTTAAACTCCTTGACAAAGTTTACAATGAAACTATGGATTCTGGTACTTACCAGTTTTCTGTCTACTACAAGGACTGGCTCACTGAGGGCATTGAAGCTCCTTCTGTTCCTTCTGTTCATATACCTTCATTTTCAAGTCAGAGTCTGTCATCACAAGGGGGTTCCAATGATCATTCTCCGAGAATCTCCGAAAGTGGGGATCATGGAGGAAGCTCTGTAAATGGTGCTAGGAGCTCTAATGATTCTGGTGTTCATGTTAAAGAAACACTAACAACGACATTCTCGTCTGATATGGGAAAGGAAGGTGAATCCCTTCGTGTAAGTATCCTCTCTTGTCCTACGTATCTTCTTTTCTCCAAGATCCTAAATCTTATCATGTTTCTGCAGGATCATGGGCCATTGTCAGCATCTGAGGAAGAATGGAAATTGGCTGGGGCCAGAGAAGAACAGGAAACCGATTACAACGGTGGAATGTTTAGTTCTCAAAAGTGGCAAGATGCTACTACCCGTGGCACTGCTCATGTATTAACTGCATCTCCAGAGTCTAAACCAACAAATGAGCTGAGACTCAAAAGTCTAGCACAATCTGTTTTCGGACTGCAACGTTTTGACGAGGCTAGTGATCTCACTGTATGTTCCTTTCCTGGCAACATCAAGATTTCAAGCTCACTGTCATTGAACATATAAAATCCATTCTTTTTCGTTCACTTGTTGCTAGTTATATAGTTGCTTATAGCTTCTTATTTTCCCAAGTGCAGGTGTTGAATCCAAGGGCTGGTTATGAATTAGATTATGAATATTATGAGGAAGGATCATTCTACGCAAGCATCCCTCAGGACTTTATCTGTCCCTTAACTGGAGAGTTACTTGAAGACCCAGTGACTCTGGAAACTGGTCAGACATTCGAGAGAGAAGCGATTGCAGAATGGTTTGATCAGCAGGGAAACCGAACCTGTCCAGTGACTGGAAAATGTTTAGAATGTGTGAACCTGCCACTTACTAACTTGATTCTGAAGCGCATCATTCATAACTGGAAGCTGGAACATTGTAGTCAGTTGTTGGCTTTAGCCTCCGAGATCATTAGAACCTCAAGAGAAAGCGAGACGAGGCAAAGAGATGAGACAGCTATATTCATATTGGAGAAGCTCATGACAACTTTCAATGTAGAGGAGAGAGTGAAAAATGCCATACACCTCGTCTCTCTTGGAGGCTTGGAGTTTCTTATCAGAAGGTTTGCACTTGGAAATGTGGAAGAGAAATCGCGTGTTGCATTACTTCTGTCGTGTTGCATTGAAGCTGATTCCGATAGCAGAACCCTCATCGCTGGAAACATCGATAAGCAGTGCCTCGTTGAATTACTTCACAGCAAGCAGCCTGACTCCAGACGAAACGCAGTTTCCCTTTTGACCGAATTGGTTTGTCTGAGCAGGTACACATTCTCTTCTTGTTCTCTGAGAAGTTTTCCTTTTTTGCTTCTTCCTATTGGGACCCCCATATGGTTGCTTCAGGAGGAGAGATGTTACGTGGTTCCTGCGAGACTTGGAGAGCGAAAAGATAATGAGTGTAATGCATGTGCTGCTGCTTCATCTTCAGAGTTCCTCAGTTGAGCAAAAGCCCTCCATTGCCGCACTGCTATTGCACTTGGATCTTCTGGTATGCTCTCAAATGCACATGAACAATGTTGTAACATCTGATGCTTAATTAGATTCGCTGTTTTCTTGGAGCTGAAGGAAGTAGTCATGGTTGTGAGCAGGTTGAACCTCAAAAGTACAGCATATACAGGGAGGAAGCAGTTGATGCCATAGCAGTGGCCCTCGAATGCAGCCTAATCGATGACAAAGTCCTGGAAAGTACTTGCAAAGCACTTGTCATGTTAGCTGGTCAGTTTTCTGTCACAGTCGGGCAGTCGTCGTTGATAGAAAATTGGGGTTTGAAGCAAGCTGGCTATAATGTGAGTACTACATCTCCAAAGGAGAACTCTGGAGGACAAATATCTTGCGATACTTCTTTCTGTCAGGTATTCCTACATCGCTAGTTTCATTCTTTCCTTGAAGCTTATTATGGTAGCACCTGAACGGTTTGTAAGAAGATTTGTGGTTCGAAGACTATATCTATACCATTGTTCTCTATAAACACGACTGGTAAAATTATGGTTGCAAGTGCGGTCTTTAACAACGAGGTCAAATGTAACGAATCTTTTGGGTCGCCATAGCTATTGCAAATCTATCTTCTTCCGACCAGTTACCAGTTGGTAAAGTTGATTCCCTTGTAGTGCTATAACCAGTGGCTCTTCATTGGGAAAACACTTCTATGTGATCTCTGACTTCGCTCATTGTTAAAGAGTGACTGGTTCTATAGTATTAGGAAGGATCCATGTGTTGCTCGATATTCAGTAAGTGGTGGTAGGAAAATCGGCTGATTCGAAATGTTTGATTTGTGATATAGGAAGAGGAGGAGGCGGCCGGGGAAGAGTGGTTGAGGAACTTGGCAGCATTGTTGCTCAGCAACGGGAAGAAGTCATTCTTGGAGTCCATTTCACAATGCTTGAACTCACATAGTAAATCGGATTTGGTGAGAGTATGCCTAACCACCGTAGTGTGGTTGAGCTGTGCACTTTCTTCTGAATCGGATGCCGAATTTCAGCTCTCTGCGTTCTCTGCCCTTATCTCTGGTCTAAAGGACCACTTGGAGAATGGGGAGCAGATAGAGCACAAGGTCCTGGCTTGCACTTCTCTGCTGAATTTCAGTAGAATTCCAGGTTAGTTGTGTTCTCTTTGTTCTTGCTTGCATGGTGAAGCTTCTGCATGTTCAATGGAACTGAACCTGAGTGCCTTGGCACACAAACTTCTGCTTGGGTTGGTTTTCACAGAGTGCAGGGTGATGTTAAGTAGGATTGCAGAAGACATTGGCGGTTCACTTCGAAGCTTGTTGGGGGTAACATGGGCAGCAAAACAGCTCTATTCCACCATCTCTGGAGAATTTGCATAGCGTATCTTGTGAGAGCAAAATCAAACACTTGAAATCAATGGATCTTGTTTAACTGTCACTAGCTAGATAGACGAAAGTAATTGTTAAAATGGCTGATGAGACTAGCATGAAGTTTAAATCATCCATCAAACGTGAAATATACTACTGACGGTGATGTAGAGACCTCTGTGGTAGTGCAAATCGGGTTTGCTTTGCCTTGGACATAATTTTTTTGGATAGTTCATGCACATTTGTATATACATATGTGTGGATTGGATGGTACCATGACATCTTTCGCCATTCCCTAACATCTCTCTCCATATATTCATATTTTTATACACGCAGATCCATTTGGTAAGTATAGTCTTGCCTAACTTCTTCACTCGACATAATCTACTACCAAATCCTGCATCCATGCGTTGCCACCTGTACATTGGGAATACTACTTTTAACAAATACATATTAATACCATGTTTTTTTTATGGTTAATAAGTGGTAAGGGATGTTCACTTCTTATTTTTTAAAAAAGATTTGTACAATAAACTAAACAAAAAATAAAAGCTCATACAATATAATTTTCAATTGTGTGAATCGATAAATGAAATCATATAACGTAAGATCGGTTGAAGAAAGTGTGTTCAACCACATATAACACCATGTTGAAGCTACTCTGTCCAACTCTAATCAATATACTACATTTCTAAGCTATGAGCCTATGCGAGTAAATTGGACTTGACAGCCAATTAGGGCGCATATACGAAAATATGAATCTATGAAAAAAAAATGTTATTTGAATAGTTGGAAACTCACATATTGTTAATCGATTAAAAATGGAAAATGGATCGTCAAATTACATGATTGAAATAGCATGATCAGCCGATCTCTAGTTGAATATCCCGAAAACTCACAAAGAATGTGAATATATAAGAACTAAAAAATGAGAAACGTATTAGTGATATATACGTGAGCAGAATATGCATGATTGGTCGGTTCTTAGTTGAGTAGTAAAAAATATATAAAAATATGGATAACGCATCACCAATATACACGTGATCGGTCGGCTTTTAGATTGAACAATCGAAAAACTCAAATGAGAACAAAACTATCGATTTCAAGATAACAAAAAAAATTAAAAAAATAGAAATAAAAAAGAGGAGTTCTCAAAAGTTCTCATATGTGATTAAAAGAAATGAAAAAAAAAATGAGGTAAATACGTGTTCACTTGTAAATGATAGAAAAATAAAAATTATACAAAAATATGTGATCTTAGGAGTCAGGCTGTAGTACTTCTGGATTATAGTATACTACAGATACTGCTAGTGAGATATCACTATCTAGACATTCAACACAAAAAAGTCACTATTTAGACCACGAATTGAACCGAGTTTGGGGCATGATACTATACTTAACATTTAATGGATAAGCCCCAGTCTTCGATTCTGTAAACCCAAAATCGAAGTTCAGTTTAATAGAAAATAATAATTGACCGTTGAGATTGATCAAAACTCATCAAAATACATCTAATTGCTAGATTACCTTATACTACTAGAGCATACCAGTCATTACTGTGGTCTTAGTATAATGCAGTAAAGTTCACACAAATTATAAAAAAACTATCTTAATGAATATTACCATAAAACCCAACCTTTTATATTTATTTATAATGTGTTATATACATTAAAAACTCTTATTTTCTTCCTTGATTAGAGTTTTCGTTCTATTTCCACTATTCTCCTCTTGATTTTGCGATGAAATCACTTGTTTCGGGCTACTAACTTATAAGTAACTAAATATGAACATTTAGATATAAGTGGACCCAGAAAATTCAAATCTAAGCTCGGGTTGTGAATTAAAAATATTTTATATTCCCTAGTTTTCTTAATCGGCTCTTATTTTCTTCGTTCTAACTCGGATTTCAATTTTTTTTTTTTTTTGCACAGATGGAACGAATTCGTTGTGTGCTCTACAAAATGAGATCAATTTTCAATATATTTTGAGAAAATTTTTTTCATACCCCCCGTTACCAACTACATACCATATGGTAACTTCTTCGTTTTCAAGTCGTTTTTGAAAACGTTTGCTCAGAAGGAACGAGTTCATCTTGATCTATTGGATCTACAAATTTCTGGGTGGAAAAAATACATGACCAAAAATTATCATACTTTACCACTATGGTATGTGGATGGTAATTAACTTGTGGTAAACAATGATGAAAGTCGTAAATGATAGTTAGTATACTCCTACTATTATGTATTCAACCTTCCTACCATATTGGTATGTTCATACCATCATGGTACGCTTTCTTACTATATGGTATTAAATATGAGCATACCATATGGTATTAACTAGTAAAAAATTACTCACTTTTTTTTGTTCTAAAAATATATCAAATTTCAACATAAACGAGAGAGAAATCGTCCGTTAAATATTAAAAGGGAAAAGATAAAAGGTTTTTCATAAGAGAGAGGGATGCTGATGTCATGCTGATTTGGACGGGTTACTCACAATAAGGTTTTTTTCCGAGTAATGTCAAGACAATAGGTAGAAAGAACCACTACCCATAATCCTTTCCTATCCTACTAACAAAATATCTTACAAAATCAAAAGAAGCTACCTCTAACCGAGACAGCAACAGGGCTTTACGTGCCACTCTATGAGCAGCCCAGTTGGCAGTCTGGGGAACCGCACTAAGTTCTATACAATGAGAAACAAACTCAAGAAGTGAAGAAACAAACGACAATCTCGAAGGATGATAACTTCTGCATCGGCTCGAGGATGACACGAGACAAAATTCTAGAAGCTGCAAGAGAGACCACATTCCTTGCTGCAAGGAGTTCTCCAAGAAACGGGTCAGAGATCCACTAATGGTGGACACCCAAGGACATAAGCACATGCCCGTTCGAGCCTCGAACAACAAGGCCAGACGAGCGCCAGAAACTTGGTCTATGTATTCGAACTTCAATTAAAATTTGTTACGATTAAAGTTGAATCATATTATATTATTGTCGGCCTAAATGTATACAATCAATTTAACACCACAAATCGTCACTAAATTTCCATATCCAACACCACTTTCCGTTTAGTTCATCCTTTCCCAAAAAAACCCAAATCTCATTTGTCGCAGCCTCCACCATCAGAGTTATTTCCGTGACTGGCTGCACCACCAAGCTTTCCCGTCTCCATAGGATCCTCCATCCTCTCCAAGACCAATCGCTACAGCCTCCTCTTAAGACCACCGCTACAGCCTCCGCCGGGAATCCACGCCATCGTCTTAGGCCGCTGCACGAATCAACATCGATCCGTAGTTTTCGTCGTCCCCAGTTTCTTCTTCCAAATCTGGGGAAACCTTCCAAAACATAACCACCCCTAAAAATCAAATTAAAACTCCTTAAACTCGGAATCAAACGAAAACCCTAAAAATCGACAAGCATGGAGAAGGAATAGACCACTTATCATTCTCTCACCGTTGACGAGAGCAGAGCAAGGACAAATTGAGATCGAGGGAGGAGGAGAGTGCGATTTGGGGTTCTTATTTGTCTGTCTGGGGTTTGATAGAAGAGGGAAGACAGAGAGTATGTCGAGAAGACGCAAAGAGGGGGAAGGAGGATGAGAAGCAGTGAGGGGAAAGGAGGGCCAACATTGGTGAGTTCGGTTTGGTTGTAAAGAAGAAGCATAATAATAATAATAATTCCAGTTCAGCCTTCTGTCATCGCAGTCAGTAATTCTGTTTGTCACGTCATAAAAAATCTAACGGTGTTAGCGGAATCTGACGGAACTTGACGATCGGTGACTAACGGTGAAAAGATTTGTAAAGTTAGTGGTTAATAAGAAAGAAAAGTAATTTGAGTGACAAACATGAAAGATTTATATAATTTGAGTTACCAAACATATAAGTTATCCAAAAAAATTCCAATGAATCTCTTATAAGAGCTTTCGGTGAGCCAAGTTGAAAGAATATCAGAGTTTTCAATATTCCTTCTTAATGAATTATCATAGTGGACTCACCAATAAACAATCCATCATATTATAAGATAGTTTAGGGAAGTATTTTCTAGAGATTATGGAAGCAAAATTAACATTGTATAAGAAGAAGTAACTCAAAATGCTAGCTATATATCGGCCATATTTGCTGACAATTACGTCCTTCCTACTATATATTATTAACTTGTTCCTCCAGTGGCTGTCTTTGATAACTACGTTAGTTTTGCCCTTATTCCGAATGCCTTTAACCACTTCCTCATGTCACTCAACTCCAAGTCCCCATTGCTTGGTGTCAAGCTAGACCCAGTCATGCAAACTTGGAAGGGAACCTCTATATACATATATTATATGTACATATTTGTTGTATCGATTAACTTTGGCCACGTCATTTAATACATGCAATTATGCAAAAATGACTTGATGTTACATACCAATACGGCTAGGCTTTAGGATAACGTTAAGGATAATGAGAGTGATGTTACATACCAATACAAACCCTAATCAGCAAAGATTATGTATATTTTATTAGGAACAATATCTAACTCTATTGAAAAACATAAACCCAAAATTAGTTACTGGATAATTTAAACCACTAAGTAAAACCCACCATTGAGTACCGTTTTCAAATAAATCAAGTTGTTGAGATGAGCCTGCAATTAATTTAGCAATAGAGTCATTGATGATAGCCGAAACATGCATGTGTGTTCTAACCCTAACTTATCTTATATATTTGTTAAAGCGTGATTTAACAAATATTATGGGTAGAGGAGAGGAGAAAAATATTATGAACAAAATGATTGGGTGTTACAAAATAAATCAAGTTATTGAGATGAACTTAGCGTTAATTCAACAGTAGAGTCATTGACGATAGCCGAAACATGCATGCATACATGAATGCCCGTTCTAACTTTCCTTCAATTATAACTAATCTTTAATTAAATATTTTTTTGATATGGCAGGTCTATACAAAATTTCAAAGTAAATGAGTAGACTTTAATTTATTCGTACGTGTAAAAAAAATGCTATGAATAGATCTCTTAACAACTCAAAAATCACTGATTTCTAACTTATATAAGTTTAATTATACTTGTTTTGATTGGTGAGAGCTGTCAACTTGATATTTTGGACAAAAGAGAATCATTAGCCGTTTGAGTTACAAGTAAAACTTAAGATGAAGTTGAATGAGATAAACTTGAGAACATAAATACAGGAACGTAACTTTGTGGGTTTAGAAAGATTAGAAGAGTTTGTAGCAATGTGTGACATGGCATTGGGAGTGTTTTAGTTATAATTAATTGTCTATCCTTATTTGCATTGGCAATAAAATAGAAAATCGGCACGGCCGGCTCGATCGGGATCGTGCCTGCCGACGTTGCATTGGTTGATTAATGAAATGACGCCTCTTTCTTTCGTCGGCAAATATATCTGAATCTATGCCCCCAATGAGCGTCCATAAAACTAAACTAAGATTAAAATCAATGGTGGAATGGAATGAATGATTAATTTAATTGGCGATGATGAGAACAAAAAGGGTATCAACAGCTTGGTGATGAACGAGCCTCGACGAAGATTCTAATGCAACTTCGCTATATGACAAACTCGCCTGCCTGCCTTCATACATTACATCAGTTTCCTTTGTGGGGTCAGTTTAAACCGGTCACTAAACTTTTAGTTTTTGACGACCGAAAGATGGGGGGAAATAAAACTTGTATGTCCGAATTATCGACATTAGCATGTTATTTCAAAGAAAATTAATTAAGATAAAGAGATAAATGAAACTCTCGAAACTAAGAATTGCAAGGTGTAATAATCATTGCATAGATAGGAACATTGGATTGTGTGACAAATTTCATTCGGAGCAAGTGTTGATTTGAACTGAATCGCTCATATCAACTAATTGGCATGTATATGAACTCATATTTGATTCATGGATACATCAATCGCTTATGTTACCTATTTCAAACTCCAGTGACAAACTTGGTCAAAAATCAAACTTGAGTGACCTTTTATCAATTGATCATCACCATTTTCCCTAACTATACTCAAATTGTTTTAAATTTAGACAACTTAATTAACGTATTGATAATAGATACTTTCGCCCAACTCTGTCTTTACCGCCCAACAAAAGAATAATCCACCGATCGATCTTTGTTATAAATGAAGCCAACAACTCATCATTTCCCCACAGCCATTTGCATTGCACATATATATCTATCTTCTTCTTCTTGTTGTAGCTCTCTTCCCACACAGCGAGCGATCGATCTCTTGCTGTGCAGGACATCAACATATATACAATCCATCCATCACCATGTGTTCTGTGTTCTCCCTAAAGCCTTGTAGTAATGTCGCAATATCAGCTGATAGTAGCATTACAGAGTCGTCGTGGAAGAGGAACTGTGTCTCTGCAACTGCAAGAGCACAAGTGATAGTGAATGTCACCACGGCAGCTCCAAATAAGCCATCTTCGTTGCTGTTGAAGCAATTAGGTATTCCTCACAGTGATCTACGCGTGGAGGAGATTGTGGAGAGGCAGTCGTCTCATAATGAGTTTTATCGCAGCTTCAGCACCGATCATGAAGTGATGAGCAGGAAGATTAAGCCAAAGTTGGATGGTGAATTTCTTGATGAATCCTATGAAAGGTGTAGGGAGATTTGTGCTGAATATGCTAAGACTTTCTACCTGGGTTCGTGTTCTATCTATCTATCTCTCCTCTGTGTTCTTCACTTATTATTCTATGTATCTTCTTTTTTGGTTTTTTTCATTTCAAGCTCCGCATGACAGGATTTGGTTATGATGTGCAGGAACTAGGCTAATGACAGAGGAGCGGAGAAAGGCAATATGGGCAATCTATGGTAATTACTAGCTAGCTACTTAATTATGCATGTGTAGAGTTAGCGCTGATGAGATGGAGTAAATGTAGTTAATAATGTAGCTAGGTGTTCTCAAGTTGTGTACGTGTGGATTACAGTTTGGTGCAGGAGAACAGATGAACTAGTGGACGGCCCAAATGCAGATTATATGATGACCAATTCGACGGTATTGAATAGATGGGAAGAGAGACTAGAAGATATATTTAATGGTCGGCCTTATGACATGTTTGATGCTGCTCTCACTCATACGATTTCTCAATTCCCCCTTGACATCAAGGTACATATATAATAATTGACATAATAGTAGTTATGGATTGGTGCCAATTGTACAATTGTCTCTCATTCTTCATCAATGTGTTGGTGGTTGTTGATTCCTACCAAAATGTTGATTAATATCAATTAAATCATCTGTGGTGTGGGTGTGGATTGCAGCCATTCAGGGACATGGTCGAGGGAATGAGAATGGACACATGGAAGTCGAGGTACCAGAACTTCGAGGAGCTGTACCTCTACTGCTACTATGTGGCCGGGACAGTAGGGCTGATGAGCGTCCCGGTGATGGGGATATCTCCGACCTCCTCTGCCTCTGCTCAAACCATCTACGACGCAGCTCTCTACTTGGGCATTGGGAATCAGCTCACCAACATCCTTCGCGACGTCGGCGAAGAGTAAATAATTTAAGCCCCAACATCCATCTCGATCTGTTTAGGTATGGTGATAAGCTAATAACAACAACTCTGGCTCTGGCAGCGCGTTGAGGGGCAGAGTATACCTTCCCCAGGAGGAGCTTGCGCAGTTCGGGCTGTCCGACAGAGATGTCATGTCAGGGAAAGTGACAGACGGGTGGAGGGAGTTTATGAAAGCTCAGATCACGAGGGCCAGATCCTACTTCAACCTCGCCGAGGAAGGAGCCTCCCACCTCGACGACGCCAGCCGTTGGCCGGTAAACGCCAGCTCTGTTTTCTGCAACTCTCTCTCTGTCTGTCTGTTTTCTTTGTAAGTTGCTGATCAAGGTTGGTTGATGGATTGGATTGCATTGCATTGCATTGCAATTTGCAGGTGTGGACGGCGCTGTTGGTGTACAGGAGTATATTGGATGAGATTGAGAAGAATGACTATGATAACTTGAACAAGAGGGCTTATGTTGGCAAGGGGAAGAAGCTGCTCATGCTGCCCTTAGCTTACACCAGAGCTCAATCTCGACCACCAACTTTGCTACTTCCTTAACTAATTAAATCCTTCACACCTTATGTGCATGTAATGTAAAACACTCGAGATCCATCCATAGCTTGAGCGACCCTCAACCAATTGTGTCTATACTATAGTAGTATATATATGTTGTTACATATACAACAATGTGGTTTAGTAATTTGTGAGAATCCGATTAATTCTTTCCCATGCTTGAAAGTTACGTTGTCCGCTATTTGAATTTTCAGTCTTGGTAAATTTATTTTATTCTCATTTCATTTCGATTGTATAATTAATTATGTTACACCAGTAATACAGTGGCGGATCCAGGGCTGGGCCAACCCAGGCCCCGGCCCAGCCCTCCTTCGGATCCAGAGTTATTTTAGTGCTTATAAAATTTTTCGATTTAGGTATTTGGCCCAGTGCTATTTAAAATCCTGCCTAGTTTTATTTAATAATAGGATTTTGTGTAACTAGGAAAATGGTTCAGATGAACATATCCAAACCATTACTCTAAATTTATACTAAATTTTCTATAGCCCCAATGATTTTATTTGAAAAAAGACATGAAAATCTAAAAGTGTAAAGTTTCATTATAATATAAAAAAAACTCTAAATTAAAGCACACCCTTCCTTGCAAAATTCAAAAAATTTCCCAATCCCCCCAAAACAAAACAAGAACGAGGAGACGAGCAGACCCAAAATGGATTTCTCCGCCAGCCCGTCGAGCTGGTTTTTTTTTCATTCTTTTGATTAAGAAAATATTTACAAACTTGCTGAGTTATCATTTAGATTGCCTCAATTGAGTGGTGCACTAGATTCTAACTGTTCTTTCTGGTGTTTTGATACATAAAATATTTACAAACTTGCTCAAGAGTTTAGCCTCGAGACATTGAAGGCTATGAGATGCATTTTTTGGAGAATGCACTATTCTTGTGAGGAAGATGAAGTTTCTTCTCTTCCAAAATTATTAGAGAAGCTGGAGAAAACAGGGATGGACACACAATACAAATTGATTTGTCGGTTGATTTGTCTAGTGTTGACCTAGCCGTTTCAACAACTACCATGGAAAGAATATTTTCATCAATGGAACATGAACATTGATTTGTGCAACAAAATGAGCGATGAATTTATCGTTGATTACTTAGCTATTTTCTTTGAAAATTAAGAGTATATTATCAGTATGGATGGAGATTATATTATTGATGAATTTGCTAAATTAAAAGACCTTCTTATACAATTGGCATTGTAATGAAAGCTATATTATATATTTTTGTTTATGATATCTAATATTCTATTTAAATGCGGCCCAGTACTCTCTTATGTCCTGATCCGCCGCTGGAGTAATATTAAGAGAATCTTGTGAGGCTGAATGATGAAAAGAGAAGGGTGAAGTGGACTGGACAATGTTCCGAGAGATGTCTAATGAAATGTGTTGAAAGTTTCTAATTTGTTTTAGTTGATTTTAACTCAAAACTCATTCGAATTATGGATGAGCAATGGTTCGGATCAATTGTTATACTAGAGCTTATGAAGGGGATACAATAAAATGCATTACATTTTTTAAATGTTCAATCACACTTGTTTTTCAAAATTCCAAGGAATAGTTATTGCGTAACTACTTTAGCGTTAATTCTCATCTTATAGAACGAAATTCAATAAGTTTATCAGGTCAATTGCATGGTTGGTCACTGAGATTACAAAAAATATTCAAGTTCGGCCACTCGAAATATTTAAATCCATTGGTGGTACTTCTGTTTACTGAGACCGTTCACGTTTAGTCACTCTCCGTCCAACTCCGTTAACTTTGACTGATGTGGCAGTCAACTCTTAAAGTTGATCGTTAACTTAGTGACGTTGTAACTAAAAAATTATTAAAAATAAAAAGATAAACTTTTATATTTTTCACCTCATTATTACATGCATTAAAAAATAATAAAAAATCTAATTTCTTTTCTACAAACCCTCATTCCCTACCCGACCCAACATCCACCACCGTCGCGGAATTCGACTACCGTAGCAACACTCCCCACCACCACCCGAATCCGACTCCTGCCCGATCCCCGTTCCCGGCGCCGGCTTCAATCCCTCCTCCCACTCCTCTGCCGCCGCCGTCCAACTCCCGCACCTATTCAGCCCTGAACCAAAAGAACACGATTATCATCATCGGCCGGTCGACGACACGCAGAAAGGACGAAACCACATCAGTAGTAGCTAAAGTTTACTTACCGGCGAGCTTGGGGAGAGCTCTCAAGCTACCATGGCCATTTTTCTGGATGTAATCCACCAGCTTCTTGTCCTCTTCTGGAGTCCACTGACCCTTCTTCAGCCCATCCTCATCGCAGCAAGGAGACCTTCCCTTTCCCTCCCTGTGTTAGCTTGTGGACATGGGTTATGCTTCCTTTGCTCCAACCAGCTGCATAAACCGATGGCCGTAACCAATCCAACACCAGAATACAACCTCACCAGCTTCTCAATTGAAATGGGCAGTAACCAAAAAAATGAAATTACCCACAAGTAAATCTAGCTAGAAAACAAGGGAAAGCCAGAATAGCCAATATCAACTCTTCTCCTTTAGATTTGAACGACAGTTCCCCATATTTAGAGTTTGAAGTTCCGCGAAATAATGATGTTGTTCTTATTGGCTTATTATTCCTCTAACCCCTTTTCTTTCCATTTACGCCTCCCTTCTCGCTTGTTGAATTTGTTGGAAATGTGCGAGAGTTGGACGGCGACGGCGGAGGAGTGGGAGGAGAGATTGAAGCAGGCGCCGGGGATGGGGATGGGGCAGGAGTGGGAGTCGGGTGGTGGTGGAGAGTGTTGCTACGGTGGTCGGATTCCGCGGCGGTGGAGGTTGGATTGGGTAGGGTATGGGGGTTTGTAGAAAAGAAATTATATTTTTTATTATTTTTCTTTTTAATGAATGTAATAATGAGGTGGAAAATATAAAAATTTATTTTTTTATTATTAATAATTTTTTAGTTGCCACGTCACTAAGTTAACGGTCAACTTTGAGAGTTGATTGCCACATCAATCAAAGTTAACAGAGTTGGACGGAGAGTGACCAAACGTGAACAGTTTCGGTAAACTAAAGTACCACCGATGGATTTAAATATTTTAAGAGACTAAACTTGAACGTTTTTGTATTCTCAGTGACCAATCATGCAATTAACCTAAGTTTATCTATATTGTTCGAAAATATCTTCCATGTCCTGAATTTTAGAAGTCCACTCCACGCTGCTTGGTTGCCTCAAGCTCACCTTAAACCAGAAGGAAGTGTTGGAGAATCCCTCGTGTCGTGCTAACCCGTACATAGACTACATAAATTTAGGGGTGGTAATCGGTAAACCGGTATTCGGTAATACCGGATATCGTACCGGATACCGACGGTATTCGGTATATTGAATACCGTCGGTATTCGATATTCAGGTGTGTGATTTTACATTCGGTAATACCGGATAAGAGTCGGTAGTTACCGACGGTATACCGGTATACCGTAATACCGATTATTAAAAAAAAGACGCAGTGCACAGGCTGAAGGGTTTTGGGGGATTGAATTTGGGGCTCTGCCGCGTCGAGCAACCCAACAGCAACCCTAAAATTTCTCAATCCATCGTTGGCCTCCCTCCCTCTCGTCTTCCTCTGAGGCGCAACTCTTCTCTGAGCCGCCGCCCCAGCCCCGGCCGCCTCCCCAGTAGCGCGCCCCGCCGGCCACCGTCGCCTCCAGCAGCCTCCTCTTCCCTTCATTCCATCCCGAAAGGTCCATCCCGACGGTATTCGCCGCGAGACCCAGCAGCTGCGATCCACACCTCGTCTTCCTCTTCTCTTCAGGGTTCGCAGAGCTCAAGCTCGAAAGGCGAAACCCTGACCCTAAGGCAGAGCCCCTGTCTTCCTCTTTTCTTCACCAGCAGCATAGTAGCATGTGAGATTCTAATTGTTTGTGAGAAGTAGAATGTGTGATTGTGTGAATTAGATGACTTAAATGATTGAATATAGAGCTCACTTCAGTTTGTAATGCTGTGTGCCTGTGTTATTCTTCTAATATTGTAAATGGCTTGTTCCTTTTGCAAAGAACACAATTATATACATCGAACAATGAATAGTGCTCAACAAATTATGTGGGTTGTAGCTCTTTGAACTAACATTGTATTATTTATATCGGTATTGATACCGGATACCGACTAGTCGATATACCGGATAACATTCAGTATCTGTTTGCTGTATACCGGATACCGATTACTGACCGATTACCAGCCCTATCTACGCAACTCTTCTAAGAGCAAACCGTATGACGCTCTCACAACAACAATAGTACGATGGCTCAAACTGAGAACCAACCAAAACATATTGATCCGAGGAAACCAAGTCAACAAACATATACCAACAGAAACAATTGGCTGAAAAGTACTCGTGAGAAAGCACCCCACTAACCAGTTATCTGATTGAACGTTCCTCTACATTACCAACCACAGTTCCTCCCCAAAATAACAATCATTCTACAGAAAGGAAAATCGACAATTAAAGGAGGGGGCAAAAATTATAAAACGATAAGTAAAATTAAGTGAGAACAAAAATCAAGGAATAAACAAGGAAAAAGATCCCCCACTGTTTTGCCCTGAAAATGTTACATATACTGCATGCATCATTTGCCCAACTCTCACTGCTTTGCCTTCTTCCTGTTGAGAGGACACTCACCAAAACCCCATAACTACTTTTCACAATTGACAACCACATTCAAGGAAAGCTTACCTCACTACAGCTCAAAACCCACCTTTCCCCCCTTCTCTAAACAGCTGCATTTTCTCCATCTTTTACCCTACACAATCACAGTGAAAGATCGTCTGTCTATCTTCTTATGTTTAACGAAAAATGCCTCTCAGAACAAGAAAACCCAGGAAGTAGTAGGCACCGGCCACAGGATCCACAGCAGCTCAATGCTAGGAGGTTTTAGCTTATAGGAAGTAATCAGGTGTTCTCCTGGTTACATCCGGTTCTCCCCTCCTTGGAGCTGGCTCAAACTGCACTCGGAACAAAAAGAAAACCCAGATCAGTAAGGAACCCACTTATGCCATGAACTCAATTTAAGAGATGTTCAGAAAGAAAACAAACCTGGATGAACGTGTGACCCTTGCAATCGTCAACTTCCAATATAGATGCCATGTTCCCACAACGGTAGCAATAATTAGGTGCACTAAATATGGTGACCACCTTTTGGTCCTGTTCAGCACAAAATGCACTACCATCAGATCAGACTTGTTGATAGAACCAAGGTGCGCCAAATAGAACAATGAGTAGAGGATGATGCACATTACATGACCCCAGTTATAGCCTTCCATGACGAGCTGATGAGCTCTTGCAATCAGCTTTAAGCTGTTGGTATGGTTGAACTGCTCGGAGATGTCCTGTTAGAAGGAAAAATTAAGGTTCGAGTCAGCCTGACGCCAGTACATGTACATTATCGAATAATGTGGAACATTCAAGGAACCGAGACATAGCATACCTGACCAAAGGTGTATCCAGCGCCTCTCGGTGAAATACCCCACCCACAACGGTCATCGGGATCAGACCACAAAAGGTCACACATGGGACCCTCGTGTGGGACTTCTTGGACACGATCAAAGTTACGGATATTGTCGAGGGTTTCAATGGAAGGAGACAATCCACCATGAAGACAAAAAATCTCGGACTCCACCTTTAAATACACAATTCCATCAGCCTTCCACCCAGAGGAATCTTATATAATTCAGAGATGTGAAGTAATACTAACCAATGCTGTCAGCGGAAAATAGTCAAACAGATCTGTAAAGATCTTCCACACATTTGCGTTCCCATACCTGCAAATAGACATGGAAGGCTAATCACATTGCACTCCGATACAACTGTCATATAACACTCGAGACATATCATTTGGAACACAACTTTTCAACCTTTGTCCATTTTGTACTTAGTGCTATCTAGCTAAGGAGAACCAACAGAAAAAATATCAGACTAGACTAGGAATGGCAATGGGGCAGGTCCGGGGCGGGTTTCTTGGTACCCTGACCCGCCCCGTGGCAGGTCAGGTCCAGGTCGGGTAATTTATCACGGGTCACGGGTCGGGGCAGGTCGACCCAATGGGTATGCAATTTATATGAAAAACATTAGAAACATGGGTTCTTTTTATTATAAGACTAAGGAAACAAACAATATTATGATAAATGTAGTTAAATTATTGGATAAATTGAGATTTTGACTAATTTACAACTTTATTATAGCTAAAATATGATGTAATAAAAGGAAAATCCTAAGTAGTTTGACTAAACTTATATATGTAATTTAGACAAAAACGGGTTGAGAATGGGGCGGGTCAGGGCAGGTCGGGTCGATGAGAGTACCCATGCCCGCCCCGCCCCGCCTACGGGGCGGGTCGGACCCGCCCCAAAACAGGTCAAACAGGTCGGGTAAAACGGGTCAGGTCGAAATTGTCATCCCTAGACTAGACCCATTCCAATTTTTCCCAAAACTTTAAGGTTCCTGAAAATTTCAATTGAACTACCTCACCATGCACAGCACAGCACAACTGAGTACATAGCACAACAGTGTAAGACACTCACATCAATTGCTTTCGGAAAACAAGATATTTACATATTCTGGAATCAGTGAAGGATATGAAGAAACTCACTTCCTCAGGCACTCGTCATAGAATCCATAAACTTGAGTAATCTGCAAAAGCCGACAAGAAAAGAAGAACCATATTTAAAAGCCTATATGATGTGTGAAACCAGGAAAACAGAAATTTCAAGCATTTGAAGCCCAGCACCACCAAAGAAGAAATCTAACTGCATTACTTCAGTAAAGTAATTGGAATACAAATGCAGAACCAAAGTAAATGTCAACTAAGAGTAGCACATTCAAAAATTGTACAGTTCACACTGGTTACCTGGCGACTCTCATGATTTCCCCTCAGAATGGTGATCCTTTGAGAATAACGCACTTTCAAGGCCACCAGAAGCTGAAAACAATCAACTGAGTCAGCGTGCAATTGGAAAACTAAAAAAAAAGAACAAGAAATAGCCTCAGTGAAGGACGTATAATGACATCATTTGACAAATATCATCGTAAAGCACTAGGCTTGCTTGAGCCAGAAGCACAGAGCATCACAAAGTCTTTCCAAATTATTATTTCAACAGCAAGAAATCAAAACCAAGATCCTATCGAGGATCAGAATATTTCTTACTGTCACAGTTTCAACAGAGTAGTACCCACGATCCACATAGTCTCCCATGAACAAGTAATTTGTGTCTGGGCACTACAACAAACAAAAAAAGATAAAAGAAGTCAACATCATATAATACATGGCCACTAGCAGATTTCAACCGAAACCAAAGATAAACACGACAAATAAAAGTTTGACATCTGATGATAGAAAAAGGCTAGCAATAATCTGAACGTTACCTTTCCTCCGATGCGAAAAAGCTCCGCAAGATCATGGAACTGTCCATGAATATCACCACAGATTGTAACAGGGCTTTTGACAGGCTAAACACCATCACAAGAAAAATATAAGGTGATATCAGTACACAACATTGGGCGATCCAAGACCTTGAAGCTTGATACTAAACTGAACTGATGAAGATAATTGTAGGATGAACTTTAATCTCCTTCAACTAGGAATAGACCGAGTAGCTTAATGGAGAAAGGAACATTCCCAAACGGGCATTTATTTAGCCCACCAATAAACAGTACTGAAGACAAGTACCTGGACGTTGCTTTCTTCCATCAGAATTTCCTTGGCCTTCTCGCATAGCCCCCGCACCTGCATCACAAAATAAACAGCTCAGAAAAAGCATTACAATAATCTTATTTAAAGATTGCAAGTGGAACGAACTCCAGGCAAGTTACCACATCGAAGGCATGGAGCCACACAGTTCAACAAGATTCTCACATGGTAAGCACAAATCATAACAGACTCTAGCCATCAATCAGCACAGCAACTTGTCGCTATAGAATCAATAAGAGCCACAAGACCAACCAATAATTAAACAGAGGCTCTCCGAAGATTCAGTGGTCTGCTGACCTAACAGAGGTCATTTGGTCTCTGCTCAAAAAAAAAAATTCGTGCCCCCACAACTGTAGCTCTACTACCCTAACATTAAGAATGGGTATATCCTAAGCCCCAAAAGTTAGAAACCTGAACCCAAATATACACCATTTATAAACAAGAAAAGTCAGGGAAAGACCACATATAGGCTATAGTTACTCCATAAACGGCAAAGCTTTGGCACAAGAAATAGAGCTCCAAGCAACAGATCCATGCCCTCCTGAATAAAATTCATAAGAAACTACAGCACCAGCTGATAATCAAAATACAATACGTCCCAGTGCAATGCTAAATATCCAAAGCAAAGTACGTTCATCTTCAAATGATTCAATGAATGGAACAGAGATTAATTCCCCATTTAGCCTACCATTTTGTTCTTCAGATCTATACTACTGAAAACAACACCGAAATGCCCCAAAAAGAAATTCCAACACCATCAATAGATCCAGCGCAAAAAACGACCAAACAGATCTATACACAAAGAAACGCACCAAAAATATATTAAAAAATGAAGCAAAAAAGAAACGAAGATCCCCAGAAATTATCCAATTCACCAGAACTCGTGAAGAGAAATTACTGAAAGAAGTCGGCAGAAGATACCTCTTGCTCAGATAAGGGCTTGCACTGCATAAGCTGATTAATCTGTTCATCGAGACTTCCATGAGTGCTCGTTGGGACCGAATCCAAACTCATTTTATCTCTACCTCCTCTTCTTCTTTAACCACAGATCCAGATCCCTTCCAGATCGAATGTTTCAATCTTCTTCTTTTGTTCTTTATCCTTTCCCAATCCGGGACCAAAATAACAATAGCATAAGAATAATGGAACCCTAATTTCGGATTTCAAAGCCTCTCCTCTTTCGAAATTTGTTTTTCCTTCAGGAGAGAGGAAGACAGTGGAGAAAGAAAGAGAGAGAAAACTCAAAAACAGGGAAAGAACGGTGGCGAAGAAACTAATGCCTTTATGAGACAAAGCGCCCTCTCCTCTCTCTCGTTTACTTTTGTTCGATAATCACCACTCCTTTTTCCGTTCTGTTTTCTTCCCCTTTTTTTTCCTCCCAATAACTCAAAACAATTTATTTCGTTTTTACTTTTTACGGTCCTGTGTCCACAACAAATTACTATAAAAAAATTAAGAAAAATTAGACAATCGGATGTGCGGTTCGCTCGTGGTTTTGGTCGACCCACCTGCAAACAAATCGGAAAAGTGAGTGTGCGTGGTTTTTCATTTTTGTAGTGGGTGGTTTGCGAATATGTGGATAGGATGACAACAAAACCCGAACTCACGAGTAATCTACCCGACCTAATTTGGTTAACATGAGTTTTAATCGCATTGACGGATTTTGGGTCGGGTTCGGGTTTAAACTCGTTCACTATTCACCGAATTGGGTTGGGTTTGGGTTTAGGTAAACTCGTCTCATGGATACCCGCTCACACTCACATAATTAATTTTCTCGGTATATTTAATATTCTAAACAACTCATCTTCTTTATATTTGTGGAGACATGTTTAATTTTTTCTTTCTAATTGTGTAGAATGAAATTGATATTATCGAGTGGAGAGTGAAGAAGCTTAATTGTTAATGAGGAAGAAGTTTTCAATTAATCATTTTGTTTATGGATAATTTGTTATTTGCTTTTCTTGAGTTTTCTAGATTGAAATTGAACCATTTGTATGGTTAATTTGTGATTTACTTGAATTTTCTATAATGGTGTTTTATATATGGATAATTTGTATTGAGAGATTGATATTTGACTTTTATTTGGATAAGAACTTGTTATTGTAAATTTTTAACGACAAAAACCCATAGGTACCCATGAACCCGCGGATACCCAGCGGATTGGGTTTGAGTTTTCAAACCCAGTGGGTTTTACTTCGGGGTTTTTTCAAGGATAAACCCATGGGTTTGGGTTTGGTAAAACCCGACCCATTGCCATCCCTATATGTGGAGGATGGTTGTTGAATCCTTGCTCACTCGACGATTTATATATAAATTATTTATCATCCAATCTACAAATATATTATAGTATAGTTGAAATCAGTTTTTCAGCAATTCGAATCTACACAATACATAAAAGCCAAATGAAAAAACTTGAAACCCCATTTCAAATTTCCTGCATCCAGAGTGAAAGTAGGAAGGACATTTTGGTCTTCACAATTACTTTTTTTTATTCATTAAAAAGACACTTACTAGGATTCGAACAATGACCACTTTAAAGAAAAGCAAAGATCATAACCAATCACACTAAGTACATTTGTTGTATCTTTTTAAATTAAAAACATATAATCGCAGGGAGGAAAAAACCCTTCCCCCATTTCAAATTCCTTGCTCCATGAGCGTTTGTAGGAATGGTAGAATAGGGAGTGTCGATTTTTTTCTTTTTCCTCTGTGGAGCGGGTTAACTTACCGTACACATGCGGATTTAAACGGGTCCAGGAGTGTCAATTTTTTTCTTTAAGTCCTTTTATTTCTCCGTGGTGGTAAAATCTACACAATAAATAAAAGCCAAATGAGAAAACTTGAAGCCTCATTTCAAATTTCCTGCATCCACAGTGAAAGTAGGAAGAACATTTTGGTCTTCACAATTACTTTTTTTTATTCATTAAAAAGACACTTACTAGAATTCGAACCATGGCCACTTTAAAGAAAAGCAAAGATCATAACCAATCACACTAAGTACATTTGTTGTATCTTTTCAGATTAAAAACATATAATCGCAGAGAGGAAAAAACTCTTCCCTCATTTCAGATTCCCTGCTCCATGATCGTTTGTAGGAAGGGTAGAATAGGGAGTGTCAATTTTTTTTCTTTTTCCTCTGTGGAACGGGCCAACTTACCGTACACATGCGGATTTAAACGGGTCTAGAAGTGTCAATTCTTTTCTTTAAGTTCTTTTATTTCTTTGTGGTGGTAAAATATATATGAAAAGGCAAAAACAATACTCCTTTTTATTGCTAAAAAGAAAAAAAAATTAACAATAAACAAATGCATGGATTCTAATGGACTAACCGCTATTCATAAAATAAAAGAGTTGAATGGGCCTGACCTACACGTGATTTGCCCATAAAGTAAAACAAATGAACATCATGGTGTTTGCCATTCTAAAACAAGCTATTTTCTCTAGCATAATATATATTATGCTATTATTTTATATCTTAGTGGCTAAAATATAATGTATTTTAAATTATTCAATGGTTCAACCTCGACCAACCCAATTAGTCCAATTTTTATCATTTCAAATATATATTATGTAATTATTTGATATCATAATGATTAAATTATAGTGTATATTATAGGAAATCGTTTGGTATTTGTTAGTAAAAAACTAAACAGAAAGATCTATTTGGTTATTTTTAACATTAAAACGATCCTAAACATTTTTAGTTTCCTTTCGAAATTCTATAGTTTTATTCCCGAATAAGTGATGTGCAAATGGCGAATTGCAGTCGTCTCTTTTCTTTCATTACTTTTTATTTTCAAATATAAAGTTTAAAAGTAAAGAATAATTAGAGTTTGGCATGGGGTCGGTCAAACATGCTGAATTTCAAGTTTTGGCCCATTTTGATCAAGTCTAATTTATAATCACATGATTCCCTGATACCCGATAAAATTCTCAATCCAAACCAGTTTGGCAGGTGAGTCCGTGTTTACCATAATTTTTTAGGGATACAGGAACGGTGGTTCCTATCCCAAATCGTGTTGTTCATTCTTGATTTCTTTAGATTTTATCATGGCTTGGCAAAAAACCAGAAAGCACAATGATGACAAGATGAAAATTTTATAACAAATTAATCGGCCAACGGGCCGAATAAAAGCTAGCAACGATTGTGAGATGATCATTTCCCGAAAATCGGCGGGATGAGAGATTTTTTATTCGATTTTCTGGAATTCAGTTTCTATAAAACTTACTCCACCTCATCATATTACCAGAAACAATATTGTTTCACAAGGTAATTGGTACTTAATTTTGGTTCATAAGGTTGATTTTTGATTCGTTGCATCATTCATGTCTCTTTTCTACTAAAATTCACTATTTTTATCATGTGTTTCCCAAAAAAAAAATTATACAACAATAAGCTATACACCCCATTACATTATCAAACTTCATACCTCACCTTCCTCCGGCCAAATGGTCAGGGCCCATGCTAGTCTACAAATATATTATAGCAGAGTTTAGAGGAGTTTTTCAACATTTCGATTTTTCTGTAAAGAGAGCGAAAGTAGGAAGGATAATTGTGTATTCACAATCATTATTTATTTTTCATTCCTAAGAATAAGAAAAAACATCATTCTCAATATTCGAACCATGGTCTCTTTCCAAAAGAAGACAACAACCACTACCAGTTACAATAAAGAAATGTTTTGTATCTTATTAAATACAAAATCTAAAAACCTAAAATCTACAAATTATATAAATTTTTCACTATTGTTAGCTAGCTCACTAACTCTACCGAAAGTACTTTCTTTGTTATTTGATATTTTAATTTTCATATTTTGATTATTTTAATTTGAGTTTAATAGTAAATTTATTTATGTCCTCTTATAAATGGATATTAATTTTAAAATTGCAACCCAAATATCATTGATTCAAATATTGCATATTGAATTGCAGTATTGAATGTGTATATGTGATGTAGAATTCTTAAATTGGTATTGATTTTTAGAACTATTAAAGCAACGATATTGTTATGCAAACAGTAAGTGACCAGTTTTTTGAAAGTTTTAGTTTGATTAATCGTTAAATCCTAAATTTATTGATAACAGGCATGATTGGAAAAATGGGTGAGTTTAAAAGAACGCAATTTATGAATACCAATTTTTATAGATGATTTCAATAGGGTAATTGACTAGCGGATCATTCATAGTTACTTAGTTTAATATGAAATAACGCAGTACAAGACAAATCATGAAAGTCGAGCTGGTGTTTTCATGGACGCGTTGATGAGGTCATTAGCATTAGCAAGGTAGGTACCACAAGATATGTTTTTTTTTTAGTGAATAAGATTGTCCTTTGACTAAATTTATAGTGTCTTGGTCGATAAATATTTTTTTCATTGCATAGAGTTTGGATGCAAAATGTTATTTTCTTACTAATTTTGTTATTGTATTGTACATAATACTTTAAGGTTTAGATATTGCTATATATGTATTGTTTCTCAAGCAAAAGAAATAAATATTGACTAAAGGTTATCATCATGAGTTTCCTATTTATGTTATGCTTTTTCAGACAAACTCTTTTTTTATTATGTCAATTTTCTTTTCAACCATAGGAAACTAAGTGATTCATCATTAAATAGACAAGTTATGAATGGTTATTCACAAGTCTTATAACCAAGGTTGTGACACCTCTACCGGGCAATTGGTTAAACTAGGTCCGACCAAAGTCATGCTCCAAAGCGGGATATACAAAATCAAGGGTCATCGTTGGAGAGGGAGAAGAAGAGAGACGAAGGGGGAGAGGGGAGAGAGGCAAGGGGATGGTATTGGTGGGTGGATCTTGAGATAAATATGTTTTTTTTATGGAATTTGACTATTTGAGTTTTTAATAGATATAAATTAGTACATTCTATTTCAGTCACATTTCTATCTTATATGTAAATATATTTAGAAAAGGTGTAAAACGGCTCAAACAGGTTGGACCTCAATCAAACCATTAAACTTCAAACCACTTGCTTGACCAGCTCAACGACTTAAATCGGTTTAACAACTTTGGTTATAACCATTAAGATCACAATGTTCACAATTGACGAAAAGTTATATGAATTTCGGAAATCGAAAAATAATTTCGATGTCGCCTTGATATCATACGAAATTCAGCATTTCAATTAATTAAAAAAATTAAATACACATCATAAATACATTCTGTTCAAATGACATTCCGACCAACGAGTCGGACAACAAACTATTATATATGTAGTAGAGTTTTGTCTACTTTTCTCTATTTCAAATTTCCTGCAACGAGAGTAAAAGTAGGAAGAACATTTTTGTCTTTACAATTAATTATTTATTCCATATAAAAAATAATGTCA